ATGGGCCTGGTGGCTACACTTGGGGGGCAAAGCTGAGGGAGCGTCCTCCCCTCCCCCCCAGTCCTGCTTGGGGTGCGGCAGCTGATGAAGCCTTCCGTGAGCACGGTGCCTGCACGCAGGGCCTCCCCCTAGGTGCCACACAGACCACAGCTGGGCAATGCCTTCAGCCTCCCATAGGTGCCCAGCACCCCTGGCCCACAGCTGGGCGGTTTTCATATTTCTGCTTAGGAGGAGGCAAATACAAACACGTAAAATACTGGCACCGCTTTTGTGTCTTTGGGTTAGGTTGATCTGCTGCCTAACCGATCCAGGAGAGGCGAGTAATCTAGCCAAATCTAGCTTTCTCGGTAAAAAATCCCTGTTAGCAACCCTGCCGTCAGACACCTTTTACACAGTGAAGGTACGGAAGAACCGCCAGCAAGCCAGGGGACTCGGGTGCTCACGCAGGCCTGCTTTCCAGCTTGCCTTAGTAGGAAAGAGCTTGTACTTTTTTCTATTTGTTGACCTTTGGCTCCTATAGCATTTCAGGGCCCTGGGAGAAGCCAAGGGGCGCAAGTCTCCTTTGTCTTGTCCAGATGGTCATGGCTGCAGGCTAGAGCCTCTCTCTGTGCCCTCAGCCCTCCTCCTGTGTGAGCTGTCCTTTCTGCGAGGTGGTAGAGGTAGTCTGCCTACCCACATGCCTGTAACAGTTCCAGAAGAAATGTCTCCATGCTTTTACTGAGGAAGACTAATTTGTGTGAAAATTTCATCAAGTCCTATAGCATGGCTGGTGCCATGAGCCAGAACTAAAATTTGGTTCAGTCTTCCGGTGCCCACTGTACTGTACTGTGAAGATGTTTAAGTGGCCAGAAGTCTTGAGGATTCAAAACAGACGGTTCACTCTGCTCTGGACCACGCTCAAGTTCATAGCCTCATCAGTTGCACATTTCCTCACCAACACTCAAAATCCTCCCGGGTGGAGAGAATGTGCTTAGAAAACCAGTAGCAACCAATACTGCTAGCTGTTACTGCAGATTTTGAAATTTTAAGATCAGGTTTATCTTGTCCTAGTGCTGATCCTTACATCAAGTTCTATAAATTTGATCTCCCAAGTCTTTCCCATCTCCGTTCTTCCCCAACATCACCATGCACCGCCCACCGGGTCTCCTGTCCAAGTGCTTAAAACCCTATCAATGACTTCCTATCCCACTTAGAAGATTAGGACCTATTCTGAGGTCCACAGAACCCTGCGGGGCCTGGCCTTGCCTGCCTTACACCAGCAGCAGAGCACTTGACTCCTTCACTCAAACCAGCCACACCACCATAAAACGCGGGAACTGTGCATGTCATTTCACTTAAAAGAGTGAAATCTCCCATCTTCCTGTCTACTGTGTTTCTTCCATTCCCTTTCCAAATGCAGAACATCTCAGACCCTTATTACCAGAAGGCAAAATGAAAAGGGGTTAAGGGCAGTGCTGAGTAAAGCCAAAGTAAAGAGATCCTACGTAAGAGAATTTGTCCTCTTTCTGGAAATCATTATTGCTACTTTCTGGCTGTAGTTCCCCAGCTGCTTGCCAACCTCCGATAACTTGAATGCACCACCCATTGTCCTCAATTATAAAATCTAAGGATGGTAATAAAACCTCGTTTAGCATGTAATGAATAACACTAAATATACCAATTTGGGAGGCAAAAGTAAGAATGAAAGATTCGCAAAGTGGTTCAGAGGAGGGACGATCAAGGAAAAAACACCTTCAAGAATTTCCAGACTTCTCTGGCTAGGAGAGAGGACTGGTCCTATCCTGTGCCCCTCCCCCAAGGCTATAGGTTCCAACTGTCAGCAGTGCTTCACACATAAAATTGTTGTTTTGTATTTTTTTTTATTGAGGTGGAATTCCCACAACAGAAAACTAACCATTTTAATGTGGACAATGCAGTGGTATTTAGTCCAATTAACGTTGATGTACGACCACCACCTCTATCTAGTTCTGAAACATTTTCATCATCCTTTGTTTCCTCATGTTTGGACTCCAGAGGCAGTGAAGGACTATTCTTCATCCTTCAGTTAATAGCCAGTAGAATATGACAGACAACAATCCTGAGGCGCCTGGCTGGCTCGGTAGAGCATCCAACTTGATTTCAGGGTTGTGAGTTCAGCCCTATGTTGGGTGTAGAGATTACTTAAAATCTTTTAAAACAAAACAAAACCAGATAACAACCTTGACAGGCTCTGGGATCAAAGCTTCCCAGAGTGGGTGATCCTTTGTGACATAGCCAAACGTGTGAGGAAGCGGGTGGGACTCAGAAAGAGACCTCTGAATAACAGCATTTCACTCAGGGCAGGGCTGCCCACACTGTTGTTCTGTCTAATTTCTGGGACAAGCAAGTCTGAGAAAGAGGTTTCTGTACTTGAGGACTTCTTAGGACCTTCAGTATGCTAAGGTACACTGTAGATTAGAGAGGGAAAGGGAATGAGGAAGTCTCAAACTGACCCTATTAGGAAGCCCTAGGCCCTGCCCCCAGGATGGTGAGTGGCTCTGGGCCTCAGGTGTAGAGTTTTAAAGGTCCTGATTCTTACCTGGCCATCCTAGGCAGACAGAACTTGGACCCCTCTGTCTACTTGGAGGAAATGGACAAAGAATCTCCCTGGAAATTCTTCCCACTTAACGCCCCCCCCCGCCCCCCCCCCCCCCCCACCATAGCAGGTTTCAAATGAAGCTGTCGTTTGGCTGGTTGGTAAAGAATATACCAGCCACACAACTGTATCCGTGTCATCTAACCAGGAAGACGGCCTGGTGAGGCAGTTCTGGGGAGTAAGCCCACACCCATCCTCAAAGAGTGCTTGGCTTAAAAAAGACGAGCTCTAGAGATGGTGTCAGTAGAGACCCACCATCTACCCCATTAGAAAGGGCCAAGAACAGGGGCGTTCCTTGTGGAGCCAGGGATCTGTCCACATGGCTCTGCCACTTACTAAGAATGCAACACACAATGCAGTTAAAGTAATTGATGCAAGGTGGGGAGAGTAGAAAGATTTGATTCATGTCATATTTCTTGAAGACCTATCTTACCTCCCTTTCTAAATTTATTTGGTTCTCTTGACAAAAGCCAAAAGGCATGGTATCCATAATGTCATCATAATGACAGGACCTACAGGACAAACATTAACAGGCAACCCCTGGCATAGAAGGGTCAAGAACAAGAAATGCAACCGTTGAAGAAGATAAAATTAAGGCACTGTGAAATGCTGGGCCAGGGTATGATTTCAGAGAACTGGGTTAGACCAGGGCACTTGGTGGCAGAAGCCTGGTGATCCTCATCTATTTTGTCCTGGGTTATTTATGAATTTACTTATTTATTTATTTTACAGTTTCATTCAAAAGGTTGGAAAAAGAGAAAACAATGGAGAAATAACAGTGAAAAGAAACATAATTCAAAACTTTTTAACTTTACATTTAGAGGTAAACATTTTAAATTGGCTTTTGCTTTTCCGTCCCGTAAAACCTACGATGAAGCTTAAGGTGTGAGCTAGAATGAGAGAACAAAGATGTGGTAGAGCAGGATGAGGTTGCATGCAACCCCTCCATAATGAGATCATGTATTTAAAGCACCAGGTACACCTGTATGACACTAGAGCCTTTGAATGGACCTGGCCAAACCCACAGTATACCACCAAAAACAAAAACTTTAGTATCTGCAGTCCCCAGTATTTGTCTGGACTACCTCCTGTTTACTGTTCTGTTTGCTGTTCCTTGTTCTCATCTTATCTGGCTGTCAGATCCATCGTGACCTCTGGGACAAAATGTGCCATCCCCCTCCCACACCCCCAGGCAAAAAGGTCCTGCCCTCAGTGCCTTCTCCCACTTTGTTCAGATATAGAAAGCGGGACCATCTCCTATCCAACCTCCCCAGGTGAGGTGGATATCCTTATTTTCACAATGTTGACTCCTGAAAGATCAGTGCATAAACTGGTGTGGACCTGCAGACCTAAACTTTAAAATATTGAACACCTGCAGAATTTTACAAATATTAGACTTCTGACGCCCTGATTGATGAGGCACCCTGAAGAAAGACTGGACTGATTTAACATGAAAAGTTTCCCTAAGAGGCCAACCATGATGGTGACGTCCCATTTACACTACAGAGTAAGGCCACTAAGGCAAGGAGGCAAGAGCTTTTTATGGAGGGGAGGGCACAGGGCAGAGCAGATCCAAAATTTCCACAACCCGGATTTCTAGCCTGAGGACTTTCCTAGGAACTATGGCATAAATGGTAGAAAGGAGCTGGGGCTTTTGGATCAAACGCTCTTGGTTTGTGTCCCATCTCTACAACTTTGTTTTGTTACTTAATCTTGCTGAACCTGTTTTTCTCATCCAAAAACCGGGATAATACAAGCTCTCAGGGTTGTTGTGCTGATTACATGAAACAATATATATATATGAAACGTGCTTCGCTGCAAGTGGTTTTCAAACTACTGACCACAAAAGCATACACGCACCATTTAAAAATTATTTTTCACATGTCAGTATATAAAATATACATATTTAAATATACACAATTGAAACAAAGGTTTCACAGAAAGATTATTTACTACTCGAGAGTCACTTGGTATTTTCTATTTATTCTATTTTGTTTTTCTAAATGCCGGTTCAATTCACTACACTGTTTTCAGGACTCCTAACGGGTAACTATATAATTAAAAAAAAAAAAACAAAAACACTGTTGGAAACCATACAGTTGTCCGTAATTACGATTATTATATTCTCTGGTTTAGCCTGATGGCTGGGAATCTTCGTCGCTAGGGCAACAAAGGGAAGAGGTCAAGGTTATTAGGTCAAGCCCTGGAGAGCTCGTTGCCTGGGGAACAGATCGCCCCCCCCCCCGCCCCGCCCCGGGTCAGGGTTGGTCTACCCCCTGCTCCCTGGAGCTCTGGAGGAAAGGAGTGGCCCAGGCCCCTATCACTCACGTCGGTAGCTCGGTAAGCCCGCCCCCACGCCCAGAGAGCTCGGAAGACCCACCTCCTCTTTAAGATCAAGCGACGAAGGCCGCGATTGGAGGCTCAGGCGGTGACGTAACTTTCCGCTTTGGCTGGCCTTCCGCTCGGGCGGCTCTCGGGGACCATTTAGCGGCGCTCCCCGGTCCCTCGGCCCTTGCAAGTGCGATGAGGTCGGTTAGCTACGTGCAGCGCGTGGCCCTGGAATTTAGTGGGAGCCTCTTCCCGCACGCGATCTGCCTCGGGGACGTTGACAACGACACGGTCAGTGCATGCGCACTGCGAGAGACGCGGCCCGGCTCTGCGGCTGTGCTCAGGGTGGGGCGGGGCCAGGGAAGTGGAGAAGCCGCCCGCGGCGTGCGGCGTGCGCGTTGCGCCTGCGCGGTGGGGCTGGTGCGGTGGCCTACGGGAGAACTGGCGGGTGGCTTCTGTTCCCGGACGTCGGGACCGAATTCTGGTGTTCTTTTAGGGGCATAGATAACTGACCCTTTGCCTAAGTCAGTAACTTGTTCACAGTGGGTGCCTGGTAAACTGGTGGCCAGATCTCCGGTTCATTGCTTCTGTCGTGATGCCTTCTCCAGGGGCAGCACCTCTCAAGTCATTTTACCTTTCGAAGTCCCAAATAAGCTTACAGCGCGCCTTTGCTGCTATGACACGTGCCCCTTAAGCGGGAATACACTGCTGTACTTTTCTGCCTCTACCCCAGTCTTGCAGGGTTTCTATAGTGCCTGCCCCATAGGGTCTGGCAACTTGAAAGCGTTACACCTTGGTTGAATTACGAGAACAGTTTACATCTACCGTTTCATCTCTCCCCAGTCGTTCTTTTCCTCGTTGTTTAAATGAGTTAATACAGGTAAAGCAGGCAGAACTATGCCTGGCAACACAGCTAACGCTGAGTGTTAGTGTTGTTAGTATTTGCGTCTATTTTTCCGCAAATATTTATTCAACTGCCCATCGTGCGCCAAGGACTGTGCCAATTCCGGGAATTCCAAAATGAACAAGACAGCCCCAGCCCTCAGGTAGTTCATAGTCGGGTGGGGTGATAGTCACAAGAATAACAAAATATGCATTGATTAAAATATGTAAAGAGTTTTGGGGTGGAGCCTCAAAGTGGATGGGGGCTGTTGCTGGTGTGAGACACTCTTTTAACAGACTGCATGTTTTCATTCATTATTTCATATTTTTAATGCAAAGCACCTTATTGCCATCCTCTCCTACCCTCTCCCCCCGTCTCCCCCATCTCCATATTCTGCCTCCTTACTTATTCTCACCTCCCTAACCGTTCTGTGCTCTCTTCTCTGGAAAAAAAACAAGGGCTAAAACATGCCCCCTCTCCCCCACGCCCGCCCCCTCCCCCAGCCTCCTTTGTGCTGTGATAGAGAAGATATTTTATGAGGCCTCTTTTGGCTGTCCTCCGTGGAGGGAGGAAGGAGTTATTCTCATAAATTTGTATTGTTTTCTGGGCTTTCACATTTCTTCATATGCCAAGCATTACAATTTTATGAGAAAATCAAGAGAGGCATTTTCAAATAGTAAATTAACAGTGACTTTAGGTGTGCATTCTTTTCTGTGTTATCTGATTGTCTTCTTTGTTTAAAAGGGAAAAGTACATGCCTTTTTTCATAGCTTCACAGCATCAGCTTTTTTGGAAATTGAACTTTTCTAAGTGGATTGCAGTAATACACTCAGTTCTGCAATATTAGATATATTGTACTACCTTTTTTTTTTTTTTTTTTAATCTGAGTTGTAAGCTTCATAAGGATAGGAAATTTTTCTCTGTTTTTTCACTGCTGTATTACCGACACTTAGTGCCTGGCACATAGTAGGCACTAATCAAATGTTTGTTGAGTAAATGAAGACAGTTATGGAAAGCAAATGTGATTATGTCTCTGAAAGCAGTTTGAAGGGCTTTGCCTGTTACTGATAAATATAGCTGAAAGAAGGGCAAGTAGTTGAGATAGTTGCCTAGTGATTATATGTGGTACATTAAGCCTGCATGAGAGCGGATAGAAATTCTGTTATTATAAGGTTCCCCAGGCAAGCATTTGGAGATTTGGGGCAGGAAAAAGACTTATTTCATCCTAATAAATCAGTAGCCTAAAGTTCTTTGAAGCTAATTTACTTCCTGGTAAGTTGTGGGGAGGAGAAGGCAGAAATAGAATGCACACCCTCTTGGACTGCCCACAAAAAGCCTGGCTACACCAGGGGGAAGTCTCTAGAAGGCTGTAGCAGATCAAAGACCTCACCTCCCCTCTCCTTGAGTATTTCTCGTGATGGTACTCTCCAGCTGGGGTGCTTTAGTGTCAGTGAGTGACCTCCAGAGGCCAGAGCCAGGATCAGACACAGAGAAGCAGGACTGTTGGGAAGTTATAGCTGCGGGAAAGCAGATGGGCCACTTTGGTAATGTCCCCTTCCAGGAAACCAGCCATTACCTCATTGACATTGCCTGTCTTGCCTGTTGTTGCCTGGCTGGGTCAGATCTACTTGCATACCGTTTTATGATTTTATTCCTGTGTCTGTGCCCTTGTTAAACAGTGAGGCTCAGCAGGGAGTCTGCGACATTTATCTTTGTACCCTCAACTCATTGTCTAGCTTTACCTGAAAAGTCAAGGGCTGACTGAGCATTCTTTTTCATTCTGATTTTTCTTTGTTCCTTAAAAAAATCTTTTTTGGGGGCGCCTGGGTGGCTCAGATTTAATAAATAAAATAAAATCTTTTATTTATTTATTTGAGAGAGAGAGTGAGCATAAGCTGGGGGGGGGGCGGTGGGCAGAGGGAGAGGCAGACTCCCCGCCGAGCAGGGTGCCAGATGTGGGGCTCGATCCCAGGACCCGCCCCCCGCATCATGACCTGAGCCGAAGGCAGACGCTTAACAGACTGAGCCACCCAGGCACCCCCAAAAAATCTTTTTTGTTATTAGCCTATTAAGTGAACCTTTATTGAGGGCCTGCTATGGACTATGGCATTTGCTGAATGAATGTATTAAAAAGAATGGATTGTATGAAAGATTCTAGGGTCCCTAGCATTGGAGGCCTTTAACTAGAGGCTGAAACCACCTGGTGTTAGTGCTCGCGCTATGCCAGTCACTGTTTTAAAGGCCTTGTGCTGTTAGCTCAATTTCACGACAACCTTATGTGGCAGATACCCTTATGATCTTTGTTTTATAGATGAGAAAATTTAAGCATAGGGAGCTGGATTCAAATTCAGGTAGTCGCACTGAGCCTCTGGGCCATGCAGCTGCTCTCCTGTGTCTGTCCAAATCCTCTGGGGCAGACGTAATGGAGACATCAGGTGGAGAGATGTTAACGTAAAAAACACTTACTTTATCCTTCTGTCATCTAATATTCCCACCAGAAACTCCCATAACTATTTAAAAAAATAAATTGAAGATTCAAATCAAGTAAATCATTATTAATAAATCCCAGTTCACTTTTAACTTTTCCTTACTGTTGATCTGTTATGTCTTTGTTGCCTTTAGAATTAAAGCTCTTGGGGCGCCTGGGTGGCTCAGTCATTAAGCGTCTGCCTTCGGCTCAAGTCATGATCCCAGGGTCCTGGGATCGAGCCCCGCATCGGGCTCCCTGCTCCTCAGGAAGCCTGCTTCTCCCTCTCCCACTCCCCCTGCTTGTATTCCCTCTCGCCGTGTCTCTCTCTGTCAAATAAATAAATAAAATCTTAAAAAAAAAAAAAAAGAATTAAAGCTCTTGAGAATGTAATATTCACTCTGTTTTGAGGATAGGAAGGAGGTGTTGGCTGGCTCCGCCCCCCAAGAGGAAATCAGGAAGCTATTTGTGGAAAAGGGGTTTGGTGCTACCTTGTTACCACTGCTAGCCCCTGGAAAGGTAGCCAGCCTTTGGGGAACCACTGGGCCAGATACAAATAATGAAGAGGTTTTGCGCAGGGCGCCCCCTCCTGAAAGCTCGGCCACCACTTGAGGGCGCCAGAGGCCCAGAGCCTAGAGGCTGATGATGCCTGCAACCCCCTTCGTGCTATCCCCTGCAGCACCTCCATCCCGTGTGTTCACTCATACACACCGTGATCAAAAGGTCTTGCTGGAGAGAGGAGGACCCCCCAGAGCTGACCTTGTCTTTTCATTTGGCCCTTGATTAAATACACAATCTGAAGTTTATAATTTTCCAAAAGTTAAATATTTTGGGTTGTTTTCAAAACATGTCCCATTGACAATGGACAGATTGGGAAGAGCTGAAGTCAGGCATGCAGGCCATGGAGCTGTTCCCTTGTCAGACTTTTCTGGGAAGGGTCATAGATTTCTTTCTCTCTTTTTTTTTTTTTAAAGATTTTTTTAAAATTTATTTGAGAGAGAGAGAGTACAAGATGGGGAGAGAGGCAGAGGGAGAAGCAGACTCCCTGCCGAGCAAGGAGCCTGATGTGGGACTCAATCCCAGGACCTGGGATCATGACCTGAGCCAAAGGCAGACGCTTAACCGACTGAGGAACCCAGGTGCCCCGGGTTGTAGATTTCTGTATTGCCCCATTCTGCTAACCGCCCCCCCCCCCCCACACACACCCCTACAGGGAAATAAAGAAACTCTGGGAAACTATGGCACTGTTAGTTGCAAAAGATTTTTTTTTTTTTTTTTTTTACTAAAGTTGATGAAGATACAAGTTGAGGTCTTGTGATGTCCCCAGGAGGGACCCCATAGAGAAAAGCTTGAGGTGGTTCCATAAGATCCCATCCTGACTAACCCTGTCTTCTCTCCCCATTCGAAGTTAAATGAACTGGTGGTGGGGGACACCAGCGGGAAGCTGTTCGTATATAAGAATGATGACAGCCGGCCGTGGCTCACCTGTTCCTGCCAGGGCATGGTCAGTGTTCAACTCCCTGGGGCTCGAGGGGCGGAGGGATCCTTCCTGTGCAGGGACTGTCAAGGCTCAGCTGCACAGGAGTCCGCCGGTATGTCTCAGTTCACCAGCTCCTCAGACCAGCTGCTGTTTCAGGGTTCATTTGATTCAGGGAGGGGAGCCGCCAGGCAGCGTGCTCCCAGCTGGTGGGCTGTTTTTTATTTTCTGTTGTGGAGTGGCTCCCTTAATACTTTAAAAGCTGCCGAGGTCATCTGATCTTATAAAGTATAGTAGAAAATGGGGGTAACACTTTGAAGAAGTCTAGATAGAAATAGATAAACTGGCTATACTAGATATGAGACTTTTGTTCAGCCCAGACCGTCTTAACTACTTTAGGTCTTCCTGTTGGTGTCTGGATAAACCAGACCCGTAGCGCAAGGACTCCATGAGCGTGAACTATCAGTGTAGGTCACATGGCACAAGTTTTCAGCGAATGATGGTTAGTTAGCGAACCCTCTCCTTGCTTCATGGAGTTTAAGGAGTACTGGTCTCCCTCAGTATGTCTCCCCTTTCCTTTGCAGCTGACTTGCGTTGGAGTTGGAGATGTATGTAATAAAGGAAAGGTAAGAACCCTCGGGGACCTTGGGACTTTGGTAGAGCTCCAAGGCTTTACCTAGATTGATCCCCATCCCCTGGTGGAAACTTCTTCAGCCCTCTCACTTCTGTGCTTTAATAACGAAGCTCATGCCCAAACGTCCCTCCCCAGTCCATCCCTCCCATGCCTCTGCCTCTCCCAGAACCTGGTGGTGGCGGTGAGTGCTGAAGGATGGTTTCACCTGTGTGACCTGACACCTGCCAAGGCCCTGGATGCTTCTGGGCACCACGAGAGCCTAACGGGAGAGGAGCAGCATCCAGTGTTTAAGCAGCACATCCCTGCCAACACCAAGGTCATGCTGATCAGCGACATCGGTGGGCATGGCTGTCTCTGCAAGCAGCCGGGGGGAATAGGAGTCAATGTGTAGTAGAGCCGCTCTCAAGGGATTCAGGGAGGTAGTTAGCGTTCATGTGTGCAATTATTATGCATTTTATGTTGAGTTACTGAGCCCCCATTATAAACTAGGTATCATTCTAGGCAGTGGGATTGCAGCAGTGAATAAAACAGACAAAAGTCACTGCCTTCTTGGACCTTTACTGGGAAGGGATGGAAAATAAACAGTGTAAAATGTTGTAAGATAATGAAGTCATATATTAGAAGGTAGGACGTGCCATGGAGAAAAGAAACCACAGAAAGGGGCTAGCGAGTGTCAGGGCGGAGAAGTAGAGGTACCAATTCTAAATGGAGTGGTCAGGGAAGTCCTTGCTGGGAAGGTGACATTTGGTCGAACACTGAAGGTGTTAAGGGAGTAAGCCCCGCAGATACAGGGCTTGACGTTTTGGCCCGAAGCTGTCTTGAAGGTGGTGGTAGGTACGTGGCATGAGTCAGGACACTCGAGTTGGGTATCTGAGAGGAGCAGCAGGAGGGAAGAGGTGACAGGACCTGCAGAGCAGACCCAAAGTGCGTGAGGGTTCACTTCGGGTGTGAAGTTGTGGAGGGTAAAAGCGCCAGTAACAGTGATATTAGTGGAGGGACAGGGAGGACATATGTGAAGGATTAAAGCTCGTGACTACACATTTGGCTCCAGATGCATCTGACTTTCTGGATCCGCAGATGGAGATGGGTGTTGCGAGCTGGTGGTAGGTTACACAGACCGTGTGGTCCGGGCTTTCCGCTGGGAAGATCTGGGCGAGGGCAGTGAGCATCCAACGGGGCAGCTGGTGTCACTCAAGAAATGGACACTGGAGGGTCAGGTGAGAGGCTGAGTGTGGGGCTCAGGGGTCTCAGGGGGCAGGGAGGAGGCCCTCCTGGAGGGGGCTCCAGGGAGAACAGTCGTGGGCCAGGGTTTAGGGTGGGAGGAAGGGAACATCTCCGTGTTGAGAGAAATCCAAAGAAGATAGTTTCAAATCAGGGTCTTAGGGGCAAATGACTAACCCTAGGCAGAGAGGAGGGAGCACTGGGTAAGAGTTAGGAGGGTGCAGGTGGTGTGATGTGCTCTGTGGCAGGGTGTGGACCCCATAGGACAGGTGCACAGTGGAGAGCAGGTGGGCTGTATGGAGGGAATGGCACCGGGCAGGAGCCCCGTGAACTCACATTCTTCCTCCTGTTGCTGCCCTTGAACCCCGGGGCACGGTTCCCAGGGCCCCTGCCCCATGCTCTCCCCTGTTCTCTGCAGGGTCCCATTTCCTTCTGTCCCCAGCCCTCTGTCAGCCCCTGTTCCCTGGTGCAGGTAGACAGTCTCTCAGTGACTCCGGGGCCCCTGGGTGTGCCGGAACTGATGGTATCTCAGCCGGGCTGTGCATACGCCATTCTGCTGTGTACCTGGAACAAGGACACCGGGCCGCCCCCTACCTCAGAGGGAGCTCCGGAGGGCAGTAGGTAAGGGTGCAGGCCTGTGGACGGCGTGGGGTGCATGGAATCCAGCTGGGTGCATGGAACTCCAGAAGTGTCTGTAGTTGACAGAGCTGCTTCAGCCGGGTCCCGGCACAGTACCTTTGCCCCACTAAGGAAGATTATTTGGGGACCCAGGGAATCCTGGGCTTTAACCTTATAACACCTGGAGGAGATTCCAAGATTCTAACTTGGCAGCTCTGTCGCTCTCCTTTCTACTTGCCACATGGGCCAGACAGGCTCAGCAATCGGTTTCCAGGCTGATTCACATCGTGAGAGCTCATACAGAGATTGGGGCCACAAAAGTCCTGGAGAACTAGGCTCCCTTGATCCCCACTTAGTACCCCCCAATGCCCCACACAGGGAGGCCTTAGCTGCCCGAGATGTCATGGTGCACCAGACTTCCGGCCGCATCCACAACAAGAACGTCTCCACCCACCTCATTGGCAACATCAAACGAGGTGAAGGTGGGCTGGGGGTGCAAGAGGGAGCTGGGGAGGGGGTGAGCATCAGTCCTGGGAGAGCGGAGGTTGCAGGGCCTTCCCTTCCTCCCTGCCTTGGACTGCCCCTCACCCTGTACGCTCTGACCTTGCCCTGCCCTTCATGTTTTCTTCTTCCGGTCCTTCTGTCGCACCCGCAGGCCACAACGCTGAGAGGGGTGGCTCTGGCCTCTTTGCCCTCTGCACCCTGGATGGTGAGTTCCTGCGGGGCTCGGGGGCTGTGTGCCTGTGGAGTCCGCTCAGGGGTCCTGTCCCGCCCACCCTGGCCTGCCTGTCCCCCGCACAGGGACACTGAAGCTTATGGAGGAAGCAGACAAGCTGTTGTGGTCAGTGCAGGTGGATCACCAGCTCTTCGCCCTGGAGAAGTTGGATGTCACGGTGAGAGGAACATTCTTACCTTCTTGACGTGGGGAGCTGAGATTTCAGTGAGACCTTCTCCTTCCACGATTCCCTCTCCACCTTTATCTCCGTCTCTTCAGACGGACTCTAACTGTGTCTCAGGTGTGTCTGTTTCTCTGTGCTCCTCCGTGCTCAGCACTGTCCCCTTCTCGGCAGCACGTGGCCAGCACCCTGGGGCAGCAGTAATGGCTCCAACGAGAAATGAGTTGTTAGGGTCCAGAAGTGAGTTCCTCACCCCAACTCCAGATGTACGTCCTGTCACTGTGTTTTCGTCTGTCTACGAGCCTCTCTATGCTAAGGCCGCGGCCCCCGAGTCTGCAGATGGGGCCAGGCTTTGCCACACCATTGTGCACGCAGGATGGTTTAGGAGAAGAGGCCCGAGGCTTTAAAGGCAGGAGGACAGGCCTGGGTTGAGCCTGACTCTGCGCCGCCTCCCTGCCCTGCTGAGTGACCGCGCGTGAGCGACTTCGCTTCCGTAAGCTGGAGTGTCCTCCCTGGGAGGCTGGGAATACCGTTGCCCACTTCATGGGCTATGTTGCCACAGACGCGCGGAGGGAGTTCAGTAAGAAATTTAGGCTCGTTTTCTTTCCCAGCTGGCTGGCTGTCACACGGGGCCAGATGCGCTGCTCCTTCATCTTTCATCCAGCCCCCATCTCGAGGGCTCTTTGTGCAACATCTGCTGGCCACCCTTGCAGCCTGGTCTCCGGCCTTTTTCAGGGCAATGGGCGTGAGGAGGTGGTAGCCTGTGCCTGGGATGGACAGACATACATCATTGATCACAACCGCACCGTCGTCCGCTTCCAAGTGGACGAGAACATCCGAGCCTTCTGTGCAGGTGGGACTCCGGCCCGTGGCCCCTCTCTAGCCATTGCTTGTCTGCCTCTCATGTCCACTCTCCACGTCCCCTAACATGAGGCTTCATAAACAAACGAGCTCTTCAGCACTTGTGTTAGAGGGTGATGGGGGATTCTAAGTTGCCATCTGTACAGTTTTTTTGTTTTTTCGGTTTTTTTTAAGACTTTATTTATTTGAGGGTGACGGCAGAAAGCACAAGCAAGGGGAGGGGCAGACAGAGAAGCAGGCTTCCCACCGAGAAGGGAGCCCAATGCGGGGCTCAATCCCAGGACCCTGGGATCATGACTGAAGCTGAAGGCAGATGCTTAACCGACTGAGCCACCCAGGCGCCCCTTACAGTTTTAAATAAGGAATAAAAGAGAGTGACAGGCCCATTTCTGGATATCTTCAAGAATGGGCTGAGTTTGGAGTGCCTGGGTGGCTCAGTCGGTTAAGTGTCTGCCTTCGGCTCAGGTCATGATCCCAGAGACCTGGGGTCAAGCCCCATGTCAGGCTCCCTGCTCAGTGGGGAGCCTGCTTCTCCTTCTGCCTGCCACTCCCCCACTCATTCCCTCTCTCTCTCTATCTCTCTCTGTCAGATACATAAATAAAATCTTAAAAAAAAAAAAAGACTAATTCAAAAAATAATAGGCTGAGTTCTTATCATCTCTCCGTCTGGGATGTGTGAAGACACTGGAAAGTTCTTTCCCATCCGAGCATGTCAGAACTCTGTGAGGAACATTCTCCCAGAGCATTCGCATTAGTTCCAAATCAGGAACTCGGAAAGCAGCACTGGCCCTTTCAGGGGACATGGGATATCTTTGGTTGCTGAGATGCTAAGAATTGCACAGGGCTCTGGGGTACATTATCCAATGTCCCGAAAGGTTAAAATGACTTTGAAGAAGGGATTGCCACCAAAGAGAAGCCCGAGTCTCTGATTGCGTTTTGCTAACCTACCACTGGGACTACCAAGACTACCCTTCATTCCTGCAGGGCTATCACTAAGATGGGAAAATCAACAGCTTTCACTTTTAGGGTGCTATTCTGCCTGGTGTTTTTCCATATGTGAAATGGGCCACGTATTTTACCTATTTTTCTGAGTTCCCACCACAGAAAGAGGGCCTTCGGTTTTCTGCTTGACATCTGTGGGAAGGTGGAGACTGCTGACTGCAAGCCCGCATTGTGTACTCTGGCCTTCCCCGCTGGGACTGGAACTCTCTGACCTCTGTCTCACCCCCCACACCCCTCAGGCCTCTATGCCTGCAAGGAGGGTCGCAACAGCCCCTGCCTCGTGTACGTCACGTTCAACCAGAAGATCTACGTATACTGGGAGGTGCAGCTTGAGCGGATGGAGTCGACCAATCTGCTGAAGCTGCTGGAGGCTGAGCCAGAGTTCCAGAGCCTCCTGCAGGAGCTGGGCATGGGTGAGTCCCAGGAGAACTTGCAGCTGGAGCAGCCCCGTGCCAGGCGCCCAACCTCTGACCCACCCCTTTCTTGCCCTCAGATCCTGACAATGTCCCAGCCGTCCGTGACCTGCTTCACCAGACCCTCTACCATCCAGACCAATCACCACAGAGCGCTCCTGCGAGCCTCCACATTCCCACCTAGCCGGACTTGCCTCTTAGCTGAAGAAGGAGCCTCCTGAACCACCCCCCGCCCCAGGTATCCATGGTGCTGGCAGAATAGGGAGCAAACATCACAGAGGAGCATGGAAGGATGGCGGCCACCCCAGGGGGGCTGTAAACTGTAGCCTTCATGGTCTTCTTGGTGAAAGAAGAGGCGAGTTGACCTTCTGTCCATTTCCTTGTGTACCTTACCCATCACATCGGCAGGATCATAGGGACCCCAACCTCATTCCACATCATCTGGGACCGCCCCCTCCCCAGAGCTCCCCACTTTCCTTATGTGGCAAACAGACTTGTTTGTGAGCAGGGGGCACAAATCTTATAAGGTGCTTGCTTGTAAAGAAAGCAGGCTTTGGGGCCAGTGGAGCAATGAGTTAAGGGCCCCCCCCCCCATTCCGAGCTCCAGCTCCCTTGGCACAGCTCCAAGTCATTGGAATTAGTGATTATTGCAGAAATGGCCCACCGTTTTGCTTTTGAGGAGAGTCTTTCAGGACATTTTACACTCTGGTCTTAACTGTTCCCAGCAACCCTGAGATGATTTTCTTCAATTTAGCAAAGAAACAAACCGGGGCCTAGCACTTTCTCATTTTGCCATGTTTAAGTATTGTGCAGCTTTGTAGGCCTTGCTCCCATTTCCCCCCAGAACACTCTATCTGTGAGACAATGGACATTTAAAATCTGATGCAGGTTTAGAATCCAGACCACAATCAGAATTATATCTTGGGCCAAGTTTATCCCTTCTGCTCTCGATTCTGCACGCTCTGAGTCAGTGTTTTTTCACATTACAGGTTGCAATCCTTTGGTGGGTTGTGGTCAGCATTTTTTGGCTAAGTGAAATAGGACAGAATAAAATGGAATGAAGAATATCAGAGCATATTGCTCACAGTATGGGGAAGTATTGTTTGTTGTGCGTGTGCGTGTGTGTACTGAGTACAAGGTAAAATGCATTTCCTGCCATGAGTTGTGTTCAGAGGAGTTTGAAACCATTGTTCTCAATTATCTCGACCCAGCCGGATGGATCAACCTGGGGGAAGGTCCACATTCACACTGCCTTTCTTTAAGGAAGCCAGGGCAGAGTTATCAGTTCAGACTCTGATCAACATGGAGGAAGACCAGAGAAGGAGATTAGCATAGAGAAACAGGTGTTTATTCAAATGGAGAAGCAGCTGAGCTGAAGGCCTGCCCCTGGGTCCGGGGTCTGCAATTACAGAAGCAGCAAGAGGAGGAAGGAAAAGGCAGGGCTAGGAAGGCAGAGGTGATGGGGCGAGGCAGGAGGGATGAGGGGATCCTTTTTTTTTTTTTTTTTAAAGATTTTATTTATTTATTTGAGAGAGAGACTGAGAGAGAGCATGAGAGGGGGGAGGGTCGGGAGGGTCAGAGGGAGAAGGAGACTCCCTGCCGAGCAGGGAGCCCGATGCGGGACTCGATCCAGGGACTCCAGGATCATGACCTGAGCCGAAGGCAGTCGCTTAACCAACTGAGCCACCCAGGCGCCCGGGACGAGGGGATCCTTATTACACATGTGCTAGTGAGCCCCCTCCTCTTCTTCTGAGGGCAAGGAATGCAGCAGGGAGAGGCAAGACCAGAGGTCAGAGGGCAGCTGGGTGGTATCCTGCTTCTTCTCTGATCTACCCCGGACTCATGATTTCGTTTCCACTCCAAGGGCCCTAGTTTCCTAGCTGAGGTTAGTTAGACCACTCTCTTCCTCTACCCCTAATCCATGACCCGAGGGACTGAAACCAGCCAGAAGGACACTCAGGGGTCTGGCTTCTTAAGGTCTGGGTTCCTGTCTTCACAGTGAAGGTGAAAAGCCTCCTTGTCTTTTCGCTTTGGCTCAGAGCCTGGCGGGGGCTAGAAAGCCACTGATTCCAAAATAAAACAAGCTCAAGCTCAGGAGGCCCTAGATGCGGGGAAGGGAGAAGGTGAGGTGAGGTGAGGAGTTCTAGAAATAAGAAAGAATACTGGTTAGGTGCAGTCTGAGTACCGAGCACCCTGACATCCTGTCCACCTTGTGGGGCCAGTTTCTGACAGCACTCCTCCAACACACCCCACCCCTCCCTGAAATTCAGGGTCCCACTGTGTAAAAAAACAAGTGGAGGAGAAGAGCTGCCTGGAGAAATAGTAGAGGTCCATCCAAGGTCTTGCACAGGGTGATCACTGGCTTCAGATGTTGGCAACCCCAAAAAAGGTAACTAAGGAAGCTCCCAGCCTTGTGAGCCTGGCGTTCCTCTACCAACTCACCTTCCCATTGCATTGGAGTGTTGGGTTGCCTGTTTCTTCCCCCACTCAACTGTGAGCAGTCGTTGCAGAATCAGAAAGGTGGGCGTCAGCAGAGACAGGGCCCCGGGTGGGTGAGGTGCGGCAGTCTAGTTGGCAAAGGTAACAAGCCCCAGAAGGCGAGGGGAGGGGCGTGGGAGTGAAGGCCACTGAGGGTGGGTGGGGTGGATGGCGGGGGACAGGTGAAGGACGGTAAAGGCTGCAGCCTTAGACTCAGGCCAGTTCCTACGACGCCACGCTTAACATCCTTTTCCGCCATCCTGACTTGGAGGGGAACGGGAAGAGAGAAGCCAGGCCCCTGAGATCACAGGCCCTCTGTCTGGAAGACTCCTGGAGGATTGGGCAGTGGCTGAGAAGCAGAGAGGAATGTGGCTGACTGAGGGACGGCAGGGTCAGGGTGGCAACAGGAAGGACAGACACAGTCGTCCCCAGCTACCTGGCTGTAGTAATGCCCCATTCCCCCCCATATGGCTCTTCCCCAAGGCAATGTCCTTCCCCTGGGGACCGACTGGTTCAGCAGTCACTGGCCAGGCTCTTGGTACAGAGGCAGGAAGGGCAGCTCTGGGAAGGGGGCTCTCAGGCGCAGTACTCCACGCTCCAGGTCGATACAGCACTGTGGGGGACGGGAGGGGAGGGGACGGGGCACCTGTCTCAGCAGGGAGCCCCTCTCAGGCCCCTCCCACTTCCCACAGTCTCCCCCTACTCCTTGCTTTTGCCCCCGTTTCCATTCACCTGGAGCCCTGGGCTGGGGGGACAGTGGGACCTGGTTCTTATTTTTCACTTGTGGGCAAATAAGGAACCTCTAAGGAAGCGAAGGTGAAATCACGACATCTCCAGGTCTTTCTCATCAGAAGCTGAGCCACACTTCCACGCCTGTGCCTTTTACCTCCTTTTCCCAGCCCTTTGGGTCAGGCTCCAAGTGTGGGTCAAGCGCTAGCATCCTCCTTACCTTGAGAGAAAGCAGCGTCTGTAGCCCAAGGCAGAACTCGGGACTCTCAACATCTGCAGGAATCATTTGAAAACAGATGAGGCTGGAGGGGCCCCCAGTGGTCACGGTGCCCTCCTGTCAACGCTCGCTCCTTGTCTGCCCACCCCCTCCCCCAGGTCTGAGGATCTGGGCCCAGAGACTGGGGACACCCCAGCCAGGAGAGGAAGAAGAGGGCTGTGAATGGAGGGAGGACTCACCCACCACCTGAGCCGAGCAGGCCACCGTCTCCTGGCCCAGCTGAAGCTCCAGCTGCTCCACCTGGGTGGGGGGCCCAGGTGCTAGGCCCCCCCCCGGGGCTTTGAGGACCTTCCCTAACCTGTTGGGGAAGCAAGGGTTATGGCCACCCCAGCCCCAGCCCCTTAGGCAGCTGACACCCCTGCCCACACACTTGGGTTCTCATCCAATCCCTTGGCCCCACGTGGGGTCTAAATCCTTGTCTTTGCTATCAGAGCCCCCCCATCAAGTCTTTTTTTTAAAACTACAGCTTTCTCGATATATACTTGATAGACCACAAAAGTCACCCTTTTATAAATGCAGTGGGCTTTAGTAGATTCGTAGAGTTATGCAACTACTACCACTATCTCATTTCAGAATATTTTCTGAATATTTTCCGCCATCCATTCTTTCGGGCCTCACTCTTACCCCAGGCGGCTGAGGCATCCAGTGGAGATCTGGTTGTGGTGGGTGCCTGTGTCCACGGCCACCCGAAGCTCCTGGTCTCGGCACTGAGAAAGAGGGGCGTGGGGGACTCCGTGAGCCCCCAGGGGGAAGGGATCGGGCTTGGATCCTTCACCTTTCCCAGCCCTTGGATGTTTCCCTCTCTGAAAAGAGTGAAGGGAAAGAACCGAGTCTTTCAAAGTGATTTTTATGGCACTCATCCAACTGAGGCCAAACCGGCTCTTAGATGAAGGAATCAAAAAAGGAAGTAGAGCTCCCCATGGTGAGTCCATACACTTGGGAACGGTTTGACCAGAAATGGAGATCTCTTCGTGGAGAGGAATTCTTGGGAGGCTGAGGGCCTAGTTTAGAGAGGTCTGGGTGAGGGATAGAGGAGTGAGTGAGAAGACCAGGCTGCCGGGAACTTCACATGTGGGTAAGCGACAGGCTCATCATAGAAACGACCGGTTCGCTTTCTTCTGGATATATACACACATTATGGGTGACGCTCAGATATCCCAAATGCATGCAATTTTCTCATTCCAGACATTTATTGAGCACCTACTATGTGTGAGATTTGTGGCTGGAAGGCACAGGGGTGAATGCTGTGCTTGGGTGTATGGCACGTAACCCGCATGCTAGAAAGTGTTAAGGTCTACGAAAGGATTGGCAGTGACGTGCCCTAGACGAGAGAGAGGAGAGGCTGTTTCCTCCTGGGAAAGTCAGGAAAGGCTCCAAGGAGGAGGTACCATTTGAGGCCTTAGGCTGTCACCTTGGAACACACGAGCTTTTTCTGTGTGTGGGGGTGGGGGGACGGTTGCAGGATGCCTACGTGCGGGCACCGTTCACGGACGGAGAAGGCACTGAAGAGTACTCACACGTTCGCATTCGAAGATTGTATTTGATAAAGGGAAGGAGGAATGACGATGACAGGTGGAACAGCACGGAGGGAAGATGGGTTGAGGCAGAGAGTAAAGCATGTACAGGATCCCAGTTTTTGGTCCAGGCTGGGGGGAGAGGTGCCTTTTCTCCCTCCCTCCTTCCCTCACCACCCAGGGGAGAAAGGAGGGTGGCTGAAGTGAGCCAGTCACAGGCAGGATTGTTCATGAAAGCCAGTGCCCTGGGGAGCCTCTCACCTTGCAGTTGACCAGAAGAGCCGGAATCTCTGTCTTGCTGGTCTTCCTCCTGCTCTCCTGGCCATGAATCAGGGCCTGCACCAGGGGAGACTCCCCCTGAAGCTGACTCTGGTTTCCCTCCACCAGGCGTCTTTGGATCACGCTGTGTGGCTGCTGGCTCCGTCACAAAGTAAAGAAGGCAGACAGGTCTAAACCCGAGTCTCCAGGCCACTCAGTTCTCCCACCTTAGTCATCCCACGATGATCCCCAACCCCACCCCAGTCCTGCATCTCACGGGAGTAAGAAAGGGGCAGGAGCTTACCCAAGGATCCCAGAAGTCAGAGCATTATAGCAGAGTGAACCCCAGTATCCCATCATGCCAGTTTGCTGGGATCCCAGGAGATTGCTCAGCAATGAAGAAATGGGAAGAGAACAGTCCATTCTAGGTCAGACTGACCTATAGGCCGACACGACCTCTCAGGGACTAGTATGCGTGGGGAGCTTTTATCTCTGGTCTAGAGCACATTATTTGTACTTTTTTTTTTCTCTGTTTCCCCCTTTGACCTCACCCTTCCATGGACTGCAGATGCCAGGGTTGATGATGTGATGAAAAAAAAATCAGTAACAACAACAGAAGACAAAAGTCACGTCTTCAAAACTAGGAAGCCTGAACTCCCCCTCACCTGCAACCAGCTTCCCTCTGTCCGGTCACTTCACTTCCTAACTTCTGCCGGCTTTGCCTTCTCTATTGAGTCCATCCCTGTTTTGTATCACTGGTTTTGTTCAAGCCTCAGCCCAGCTGGCCTGGGTCACCGGGCCGCCTCCCTCAGTTCCTAAGAACCTGCCTCCAGTACCCTTGCCTCTCAGATACACCTGCCTAAAGCCAGTGATGAGCTAAAGCCCTCATGACTCAAAATGGGGCCCTCAGATCGGTAGCTTTAACGTCACTTGGAAGCCTGTTAAAAATGCAGAATCGAGACCTGCTGAATCAGAAGCTTCATTTTAACAAGATGCCCTGATGATTCGTGTGCATGTCAAAGTCTGAGAAGCACCAAAGTAAAACAAAACTCTGTTACTCCTGTTTTAAATCGATCCAAGCACAGCCGCCTCCCACCGCCTACGTGCTAAAGCCCGAACTTTTTAAGGTGATGCACAGCCCAGGTGACCTGGCCACTGCCTGGTCTTCAGCCTTGTCCCCCACTTGGCACATCTGCCCCTGTGACCCCGCTTGTACTGCTTATCCCAGGCTGCTGTTCGCCTCCACACCTTGGCTCCTGCTCAGCCCCCTTCCTCAGACTCCTCTTTCTCATTCTCTAGGCCAGACTGGATGACTGGTTCCACATACTTTGTTCAGGAACTACTCTTTAGGGGCGCCTGGGTGGCTCAGTTGGTTAGCATCTGAAAGCTCTGCCTTGCGCTCAGGTCATGATCCTGGTGTCCTGGGATCAAGCCCCGCATTGGGCTCTCTGCTCAGCGGGGAGTCTGCTTCTCCCTCTGTCCTTCACCCCACTCAGGCTCTCTCTCTCTCCCTCTCAAATGAATAGATAAAATCTTTTTTAAAAAATGAACTACTCTTTATTTGGGAGAGAGGTTTTTATCTAAGTCTGAAATTCCATACATATCCTGTAATTAATGTGCAGTTTACCTCTTCTGGGAAGCCCTCTCTGACTTCTTTGTACTCTTCATTCCACACACCAGGCTGGGGCCAGCACCCCTTCTCTTAGCTCCTTTTGTCATGCTTCTCACAGATGTGATTTGTGGATTTTAACTCCCCCATTAGCCTGGAGAGCCTGTGAGGTCAGGTCTTTATATCCCAAGCCTTAGCTTAGCATACGGTAGGCACTCAATAAATGTTTGTTGAAGAATGACTGTATCTGTCCAGGCTGCCCACATGCTTCTCCACCTGCCCTCTCTTCTTGGGAACCTGGGATTGTTTTTCTACCCTTGGTTTAATGAGGCCCTTGAGGCCAGCTCCTCCTGCCAACAAGGCTGCCAGCAGGAGACCCAGCTCCGGAAAAAGGGCAGTGAACTCCGGAACTGGCCGGAAAGAGCGGCCCTGCGGTTCCCAGCTCTCCTCCCGCCTTTCCCACGATGAAGACAGGCTTCAGGCTCCCAGTGCTGTGCAGTTTGCTCCAGACTTATCCTAGGGAGGGAGACAGTGGGGTCCTCCCAGGTGTCTTCACTCCCAGTGCCACACAACGGACCTGCTTGAGACCATTCTCTGGGAGGTCCTGAGGCAGAGGGGTGAGGTGAAAAGCTCGGGACTTCTCATCAGAAGGCTGCATCTGCCCTTCTGGGATGGCAGTGTTAAAAGAGCCTCTTCTCCAGGGCCAGAAAGATGTAGGATGGTCTCCAAGCCCTAGAGCCTTTGAGGACCAGCTCCCCCGTTGCCCTGTTTCTCCCTATTTCTCAGCTGTGCTCGCTGTGTAGGCAAGGAGGGAGCAGCCCTGAAGTTCCCTGAACTGAGATCTCAGTCTGGTCACTTTTCGTCTCTGGGTGCTGCTGGGAATCAGCTGGGAATCGGCTGGCCTCTCGGCTGGGTTCCTGGAGGGGGACCATTCGTCTAGGAGGAATACGGCAGGGCTAGGTCAGGAAAGGGAGAGAGCGGCTGCATTAGCCTCCTGGCTAACGCCAGGCTGAGGCCCCTGGAGTTGACTTTGTGCCTCTCAGGTTGCAGGACTGCCCTCCCCTCAGACCCTCTGACGAGGAATTGCGTGAGGGTACAGAGTGCTTCCAAGCCCTTCTACCAAAGCCTCGCTTTCTTCTAGGAGCCATAGGCCAGATAGGATTCCATATTCTCAGACCCTACAGAGTTTATTTTCTCTCTCGGGCCAAGTGGAGTAGTAGCTGGAGGAACAATCCTAATTAGACCTTAGTGCTTTCTGTTTTCCAGGCACTCTTCGAAGCGCCTTATAGGTATTAGTTCTGCCAATCCCACGGCAACCCGATGAGGGAGAGACTACTAATTTTGTCCTCATTTAGCAGATGAAGAAACAAGCTCAGAGACAAAGCAACTTGCCCAAGGTAGCAAGTGCCAGAGCCAGGATCTGAACCCAAGCAGCCTGGCTCCAAAGCCCATGCTCTTCATCACTCTCTCAGAGGGAGATGAGTGTATGCGGCTGTCCCCTGACCCACTCACCTCCTCGTTGTTACGCGCCCCCCCCCCTTCCCTCTGGAGGCCACAGCCGCTGCAGGAGACGGAAGGAAAGGAGCCTGGAAGGGCCAGTGCCCCTACAAGGGAGTAAGGGGGCACTCTGGAGGGCCGGTGGCTCAGGTAAGAGCCATGCAAAACCCTGGGCTCTGGAAAGGACGGAGGCCCTTACTGCTTCCATTGTGCAGGGGAAAGACGACTGAATGGCCAGAGCTGGTAGGAGGGAATCTGTTGTTTCGGGATAGGACAGAAACCACAACTCTAAGCTGGCCAGGCCTCCAGGCCCTTCCAGCAGCTAATGACTGCTCCAGAAGGTTCCTGTGTCCTTGTAAGCCTCTTCTGCTAAAGAGCACCTCTCCTCATCACCCCAAGACAAACGTTGAACTATTTGGGAGAAGCTGAGCAATGCAAACAGGGTCTCCCAGAGCCACCAAACCATGGGAACATCCCCAGTGAAGAGCCTGAGAGCGGTCAGAGTGGAGCCCCTCAAACTGGGACTAGCTCTGCCCCATTCTCAGCAAGGGAGAGGGGATCTGAAGGCTTAGGGACTGTCCTTTCCAGCCCTCCACCCCCCTCCCCAGGATACAGGGAGATGGAGAGGAAGGGTGGGGAGAGGGCTGCCTCACCAAGTCCTTGGAGGTGCCGAGCCTCTTGAGGCTGTCCAGGGGGAGCAGGTCGGCAGAGTCCTTGTGCAGGAACTGGGTGGCCTGTCTGAGCCGGCGCTGCTGGCTCAGGGGGGCTCGGTCCCCAAGCGCTGCCTGCTGTCCCCTCCTCCTGGAGTCTCCCTCCTCTCTCCCGGCCTCCAGCCTGGTGCTCACAGCCCCTGCGGGGCTTGACGAGCTTGATGAGCAGGGTGGGGGCTGCTGAACTTTCCTTCCCTCCATCCCCTCTGCCTCCTGCTTCCCGCCTGTGCCCGCTCCCAGGACGGCAGCTCTCCTGATGGGAGGGTCTCCACGGGGGCAGAGGAAATCAATAAATCATGTGCAGGAGCAGCCGCGTAAGTCACCAGTTTCCAGAGATCGCAGTAGAGGGAGTGAGGCTCCGGCTGGAAAAACCCAGCGCTCCAGGAGAGGGGGGGTTGGCAGGGCCTGCAGGTGGCAGGCTCTGCAGCGCATCCAACTCTGGGGTCCTGGTCGGAGTGGTTGGTGGAAGGGGTGTGTGTGTGTGTGTGTGTGCGCGCGCGCGCGTGTGTGTGCGTGTGCGTGTGTGTGTGTCTGCAAGCTCGAGGGGGTGTAAGAGTGTTGTAAACTGTCAGGGTATCCGTGCCAGCTTGTTTGAAAGGCGGTGCGCGTGGGTGTGCGGGGGAGTCAGCCTGCGTGCTTGCTGCGTGCGTGGGAGGCAGGCACGTGCATCCATGTGCATGCGCCCTCCCTTCTCCTGGGTCTGCCCCGCTGCTCTCTCCCCTGGGCTCCTCTGCAGGTCGGGGGTGGGGTGCAGGCCAGTGGCTAGGTTCAGAACAGAGAGGGGCAGCCTCAGAATGTCCTTCCCTCCTCTCCTCCCCATCAACAGGAGAGGTTTCACCTTTCTGGGTCTCGACCTTTCGGCGTGGCAGGTGTCAAGAGTCTTTAGCTAATGTCCTTTCCAGCCCTCCACCCCCCTCCCCAGGATACAGGGAGATGGAGAGGAAGGGTGGGGAGAGGGCTGCCTCACCAAGTCCTTGGAGGTGCCGAGCCTCTTGAGGCTGTCCAGGGGGAGCAGGTCGGCAGAGTCCCTGTGCAGGAACTGGGTGGCCTGTCTGAGCCGGCGCTGCTGGCTCAGGGGGGCTCGGTCCCCAAGCGCTGCTTGCTGTCCCCTCCTCCTGGAGTCTCCCTCCTCTCTCCTGGCCTCAGGGTTCTGGGTCCCAGGGGGCGGGGGGCGGCAAGAGCAGCTCTGAATCTCCCCACAAGTGGGGCCCCAGCTTCTCCCTCTTCTTTATGTAAGGCTGATTGAGTCCTGGCTCTTTAAAAAGTGTTATAATTCAAACACTCAGGAAGTTACCAAGAGGGGCGCCTGGGTGGCTCAGGCCCTTAAGCGTCTGCCTTCAGCTCAGGTCATGATCTCAAGGTCCTGGGATTGAGCCCCACATCAGGCTCCCTGTTCAGCAGGGAATCTGCTTCTCCCCTTCCCTCTGCCCTTCTCCCTGCTCATGCTCAGATAAATAAATAAAATCTTAAAAAAAAAAAGTTATCAAGAATAACCAATATCTTTTACTGGCCACCTCAGTTAAAAAAAATAACCGAACTATTATAAATATAGTTGAAGTGCCCCCCTGCACCTCTCCTCCCCAGACAAAATCCCTTTTTCAATCTGTGTTTCACCATTCCCATACTTGTCCTTTTATTCTTTATGCATATGCATATACATGTATCCTAAGCAACATATCATTTAGTTTTGCCTGACCCATCACATATATCCTTCTGCAATTTGTCCTTTTTGTGCTCAATATTTTGTTAGTGAGATTCATCCATGAGATATGCATTGCTCTATTAATTCTCTTTAACTGCTGTATGTTATTCCTCTGTGAATGCATCACGTTTAGGAAATTTAGGTTATTTTTCGTTAGATTTTGTTTCTGTTTTTATTTTTGTAAGTAGGCTCCATGCCCAACATGGGGCTCGAACTCGACGACCCTGAGATCAAGAGTCACATGCTCTACTGACTGAGCCAGCCAGGCGCCCCTTAGGTCATTTTTCATTTACAAACAATGGTACAAGGAATATTTTTACACATACTTCCTGGGCACACGTGTAAACATTTCTCTAGAGTACATACCTGGGTGTGGAATGGCTGGGGCATCAGATACACGGCTTCTCCTCCATTAGCATAATGCCAACTTGCCCTCCAGAGTATTTATACCAATGTGCACTCCAGTTATCCGTATTCGGGGGTTCCTCACCCTCCACTTCCTGACCAGCACTTGGAGTCAAACCTTTTACAGCCCTGGCTCATCCCATCATCAGATTTTTCTCTCCAGCCTTTTATCTTCACCCTCATCAAAATGCACTGGGTCAAGCACCTGCTCACATGTGTTTGGACACATACAGGATGGGAGCCCCAATCAAGTCCTACTCCCTAGGGCACAGTCTAATCCAGATATCACCAAGGTGCACACACACATTCAGAGGGACAAGATTTCCAGTGGCCTCCTGCAGACCCAGCCTGTTTGAAGCATTTTCACAGCCATGACAAGTATATGAGGAAGAATTGCATTGTGATCTCTATTTATAGACGAGAGAAATAGCTAAGTGTTATGGGTTACATTTTGCCCCCCACAAATTTGTACATTGAAGTCCCAACTCCCAGCACTTCAGAATGTAACCTTATTAGGAGATAGGGTCTTTACAGAGAATCAAGTTAACATGAGGTCACTAGGGTCGACCCTAATCCAACATGACTGTGTCCTTACTAAAAGGGGAAATTTGGACACAAATTCCTGCACACAGGAAGAATGCCCCATAAACGTGAAGCCTGAGAGTGGGTGATGCATCTATAAGCCAAAAGGGTGCCAAAGGTTGCCAGTATCCACCAGAAGCTGGGAGAAGGAGGGCCTGGGCCAGATCCTTTCTCAGCACCCTCAGAAAGAACCAACCTTGCTGGCACCTTGATCTTGGACTTCCAGCCTCCAGAACTGTGAGACAATACATTTCTGTGGTTTAAGCCATCCGGTTAGTGGTACTTGTTATGGCAGTCCCAGGAAACTAATACACTGAGACTTAGAAATCTCACCTAACATTCAGTTACTGTATGGCAGAGCCAGGAATCAGACCCTTGTGTTCCGTCTCCCAAGTCCTGCACAATGTCCACCATGCAAAAAGAGAAGACTGATGAAGACAATAAGCATGGAATGAACACCAAACTGTAGTGTGATTCCATTGATCAAGTTCTGGCCCACCCACACCCTGGTTTCATTTACACTCAGTTTCAGTGGAATATTCCAACTCTCTCTCATGCCTTGACATCCATTACTGCCACACATTTTCCTGGGATAGAGCTCAAAGAGGATCCACTGACACATTGTGCTGGTTTCTGTGGTTGCTTCACTAGGGCCAACTGTATGCATTGATAGATCAGTGAGTGGCTTACATACACAATGCTGGATGGGCCCAATGCTGAAATGTATCTCCTCCAACTTTGTTTTTGGCAATTCACTCCTTAGGTTTGAAAATTCTTCAACATCTTCAAGAGGTCTTGATTAATTCATTTTTGGGGGAAGAGTAATGCTATTAATGAAGAAGAAAGAGATGATTCCAGCGCATTTAGCAAAGTTGCCTCAGGCCAGGCTGACAACATGGATGGGATGTCTCTGAACTCTTAGGTGCACTTCGGTCTGCAGACTGAACTCCAGGGAAGAGTGAACATACCTATAGTATAGAATGGAGACTTCGGAGCTTGCAGTTTAGATGGGGTGAGGTTGGGGACAGCATCACCTTATTTCCAGTTGCTCTGACAAGGCCTTTGTTGCCTGGTGCTCAGGAAATGCCATTTTCTGGAATGTAGCTGTGCAAAAGAGTCAAGTTGGTCCCTGTGTTCTGTGACCCAAACTAATGCTCTCTAATGCTTCACTCTCTATCTCACCATCTGGGACTGGGACTCAGGGGTGAGGAAACTCTCTTTTGCCTTTTTCTGATCCTTACTTACTTCCTTTGAAATTTGTTTTTGTTTTTTTCCCCCGCAAATTGGAGGGAGAATGGGAATGTTCTGGCAATGCAAAACTCTGAGTTCTTCTTTCTCAGGAGCTAAAGCACTCCCTTTGAAAAGATGATGAACCCAATGCTATCTACTCATCCAATGCAATCCATATCAAAATACCAGTAGTATTTTTCACAGAACTAGAATGAACAATCCTGAAATTTGTATGGAACCACAGAAGGCGCTGAATAGCCAAAGCAAGCTTGAAAAAGAAAAGCAAAGCTGAAGGCATCACAATTCTAGATTTCAAGTTATATACAAAGCTGTAGTAACCAAAACAGTATGGTACTGGCACAAAAACAGACACACAAATCAATGGAACAGAATAGAGAGAGCCCAGAAATAAACCCATACGGTCAGTTAATCTATGACAAAGGAAACAAGAACAATGGGGAAAACACAGTCTCTTCAACAAATGGTGTTGGGAAAACTGGACAGCAACATGCAAAAGAATGAAACTGGACCACTATCTTACACCACACACAAACATAAACTCAAAATGGATTAAAGACATAAATGTAAGACTTGAAACCATAAAAATCCTAGAAGAAAACAGAGGCAGTAAACTCATGGACATTAACCTTAGCAACACTTTTGTGGATCTGACTCCAAAGGCAATGGCAACAAAAGCAAAAATAAACAATTGTGGGGCGCCTGGGTGGCTCAGTCGTTAGGCGTCTGCCTTCGGCTCAGGTCATGGTCCCAGGGGCCTGGGATCGAACCCCACATCGGGCTCCCTGCTCCGCGGGAAGCCTGCTTCTCCCTCCCCCATTCCCCCTGCTGGTGTTCCCTCTCTCACTGTGTCTCTATCTATCAAATAAAGAAATAAAATCTTAAAAAAAATAAAAAATAAACAGTTGTGACTACAGCAAAATAAAAAGCTTCTGCACAGAGAAGGAAACCATCAATAAAACAAAAAGGCAGCCTACAGAATGAGAGAAGATATTTTCAAGTGATGTATCTGGTAAGGGGCTAATATTCAGAATATATAAAGAACTCATACATCTCAATAACAAAAACCCCCCAAATAATCCTATTTGGGCAGAGAACCTGAATAGACATTTTTCCAAAGAAGACATACAAGGCATACATGATCAATAGACACATGAAAAAATGCTCGACATCACTCATCATCAGGGAAATACAAATCAAAATCACAATGAGATATCACCTCAGACCAGTCAGAATAGTGTGCTGGCGAGGATGTGGAGAAAGGGGAACCCTCCTACACTGTTGGTGGGAATGCAAGCTGGTGCAGCCACTCTGGAAAACAGTATGCAGTTTCCTCAAAAAACTAAAAATAGAGCTATCTTATGATCCAGTAATTCTACTTTTAGGTATTTACCCAAAGAAAATAAAAACACTAATTCAAAAAGATACGTGCACCTCCATGTTTATTGCAGTGTTATTTATAATAGTCAAGATATGGAAGCAACCTAAATGTCCATCAATAGATACATGGATAAAGAAGATGTGGTATAAAATCGCACTACTGGGTATTTACCCACCGAAAATGAAAACACTAATTCAAAAAGATATATACACCCTTATGTATATTGCAGCACTACTCACAATAGCCAAATAATGGAAATGGCCCAAGTGCGCATCCATAAATGAATAAAGAAGATGTAATGTGTATACACACACACACACACACACACACAGTGAAATACTACTCATCCATAAAAAGGATGAGATCTTGCCATTTGCAGCAACATGGATGGACCTAGAGGGTTTTATGCTAAGTTAAATAAATCAGAGAAAGGCAAATGTCACATGATTTCACTTATATGTGGAATCTAAAAAAACAAAACAAGTGAATAAACAAACAAAAAGCAGAAACAGATCCATAAGTACAGAGAACAAACTGATGGTTGCAGGAGGGGAGAGGGTTGGGGGATAGGCAAAACAGGTAGAGGGCATTAAGAGGTACAAACTTCTAGCTATAAAATAAATGTCATGAGGGTGAAAATTACAGCCTAGGGAATATAATCATTAATACTGTAATAACTTTGTAGGGTGACTAATGGTGACTACACGTAATCATGACTGAGCACTGCATAAGGTATATAATCGTCAAATCACTATATAGTACACCTGGAACTAATATTATATGTCAACTGTACTTTGACTTTAAAAAATCTAGGCTCATCTAACTGAAAAAAAAAAGAGAGAGAGAGGAATGGAAAAATGCCAGGGAATGTTTTGAGGCCAGTTTGTATACTCAGCTGGGTGGTCTGTATCTTTGCCAACAACTTCCCTCACTTCCCTCTCCTGGTCATTTTTTTTTAAGTTTATTTATTTTTAGTAATCTCTATAGCCAATGTGGGGCCCGAAACCCCGATCAAGAGTTGCATGCTCTTCTAATAAGCCAGCCAGGCACCCATCCCCTGGTCATTTTTTAACCTGAAGGTTATAGAACTCAACAAATCAATTCATTAACAAGGAATAACTACATTGAATTCTAAAGATAGACACAGGAGGAGAAAACTTCCAGGAGCACTACTGAGGAAGATTAAACCAGTCCTCTATAGTCAGGAGTAGAAGTGGAGCTTTTCCTCTCGTTTTTTCCATCTTGTGGTTCACATAGATGTTGAAGTGAATGGATCCAAATTCAGCAATTCAGCGAGAAAAAAAATGGAAGCATGAGATCTGGCTCCCTCACTGCATTGGTTCTCCTCTGAATTACAGCAAATTTTCCTTTCATTCAGTCAAAAAGGATTTATTGAGCACCTACTACGTGTCAGACACTGAGGTAGGCTCTGGGCGTACAATGGTGAACCATATGAAAGGCCCGCCTTCATGGAGTTCACATCGCAGGGAGGAAGGCAGATGGTGAAAAACTACGTTTATAACATCAGGTAGTGATGAGAGAGCCATGGGGGTCAGGTGGTGGGGAGATGACACCGTGCAGAGATGAGAACCAGGTGAGGGAGAGGGCTGTGCACATAGCTGGAGGAAGGGGGTCACACACAGTGAACTCGGAACCCTGCAGGTAAGATAGGCTAGGCTGGGACAGTGCTTGTCCCAATACACACCCGGACAGGGTAGAGCTGCACCTCTGCATCCCTTCTGTCTGGCCTGGCTCCTTGGGGACCAGTCACTCGCACCAGGAAGACTAGCTGGGGTAGAGAGCATTGTCTCTGCTATTGAGAGAATGGAGTTACCTCGTCTACTCCAGGATGGAACCCTCTTCCTGGCTCTCCTTGGCACAGTGCTCTTCTCACCGGGGTTAACAACCCACCAAACCCTGAGTCCGACAGACCTGAGAGGGTTGGGATTCCCTCTACTGAAAGAGTACACAGAACACTGCTGTGTGGGTTCCAGAACAGCAGTATTTCTAGCAATGTATTTCTAGTGATGAGGAAGGCAGAGAGGGGCTTTGAACATAAGGTTTTCTTGGTCTTCACCCTCACAGGCCCCGGGGTTTTCTAGAGAACTTTCTGCATTTAGATAAAACCAGACCACACCTTATACTTGCCATTGGTATCAGACAATCATTAGCGAGTCTAGATTTGTGTTGGCCAAGACAGCAGTCACCGGCTACAGATGGTTATCGAGCACTTGAGGTGCAGTTAGTCTAAAGAGAGCTTTGTTGTACATGTAAACTATACACCAGATTTTGAAAACAATGCAAGAAACAATGTGAAATACTTCAATTATTTTTACATAGTTTACATTATTTTATATTGATAATATTTTGGATCTATTGTATTAAATAAAATATGTTATAAAAATGAACTTCGGGACGCCTAGGTGGCTCAGTCGGTTAAGCGTCTGCCTTCAGCTCAGGTCACGATCTCCAGGTCCTGGGATCGAGTCCCACATTGAGCTCCTTGCTCAGCAGGGAGCCTGCTTCTCCCTCTGCCTGTCGCTCCCCCTGCTTGTGCTCTCTCTCTGACAAATAAATAAAATCTTTAAAAAAATGAACTTCACCATTTTACTTTTTAATTTTTTGTTTATGTTTAAAAAATTTTATTTATTAATTTGAGAGAGAGAGAGAGCATGAGAGTGCAGAGTGGTGGGGAGAGGCAGAGGGAAGGAGAAAGAGTTTCAAGCAGACCCTGAGCAGACCTCGGAGCCCTGAGCACGGCTCAATCACATGACCCCGAGATCACAACCTGAGCCAAAACCAAGAGTCAGAAGCTCAACCAACTGAGTCACCCAGGCGCCCCAACGTTTTACTTTTTTTAATATGACAACTAACAAATTTAAAGTCACATATACAGGTCTATTATATTTCTACTGGATGGCACTGGTCTAAGTAGATTCACAGCTCATTTCCTTGAACCTGATATAATCTATGTGAGCAACTCTCTGCTGTGTCGGGAAGTTCTTCTTCATATCTAATCTAAATTCCTGTAGCTATTATTCAAAATCCCTGCCTTCTTGTCCAAGCCTCAGTGTTGATGGAGACGAACTGGTTCCCACCTTCCTTGGGATAAGCTTTCATGCCTCTAAAGATCTTTATACCTCTTCTTTTTAGCCTTTTTTCTTCAAGGCTTGAGTAGTGCTGATTCTTATCTCTGACAGTAGGGATGGGGAGGAGAGCTCATTTGGCACGGTGAAATCACCCAGACATTGCTCTGCCACATAAGGAAATTCCCAGAATATTCTTCATAGAATGGGTTATTCAGAGCTAGACAAACAGCTCCCTTGAGCCCGCGGAAGGTTAAAGGGCAGTCAGTTCTATTTCGGGCTTTCTCCTCTGGCTCTGTCAGATCTGCTGAGGACAAGAATGAAGCTGTTTTCCAGAATTCTCCTGTCCAGCAAGGGTCCCAGGAGGTCTGTGCCAATTTTGAAATTTATCACCCTACCTCCACCCCAAAAACTACCAGACTATGACAACGTTTTATATTTGACACTTGGTTGATCTTCTCCTACTTTATGGATGGCAAAACCAAGGCACAGAAAATTCCAGTGTTCATCTCCATTGACGAAACCAGACTGAACATGGTATTTTGAACTCAGATAAAGCTTGGTCAAGTATTCCAACTCAGTTATTAACTGAGTGAAGTGCTTAAGCTTTTGGAATCTACTTCCTCTCCTGTAAAATTGAAATGACATGTAATTTGTAGAATTTCTGGGAAGTTTAAATGAGAGGCAGGATAGCAGATTGGTTAAGAGTGCTCTATGCCTCAGTTTACTCCTCTCTAAAATGGAGATTATGATGGGACCTATCTCATAGTGTGAGGATTAAATGGGGTGATTCTTGGAAAGTTCTCAAAACATTGCCTAACACGTAATGAGTGCTGGGTAAATGTTTGCTGTTACTGGGGAGCTGTACATGTAAATACACACACGTGTGCTGGTCACATGCATGCACACTCTCAGATACCTCTCCCCTTTGCTCCCAGAGTACAGCTGGATTGGTTATCTCTGACATTATTTCTCACACTATTTTTAATTACTTGTCCACCTTCCCACCAGATCCTAGGGTTTCTAAGGGTGGGTCTTTCTTTCCCCCTGTCTTTTCTCTCTCTTCTTACCCAAAATTAGTTGAACGAATGGGTCAGCAGGACTCCCGTGGACACAGGAGGAAATGTGCCGTTATTAACCCATCTACTCAGGTGATGAGACACTAGAACAGCCCGTTGAGTTCCCCACCTGAACTTGGCAGCAGAATCCAACTAATGCCCTGGGCGCTCCCCCCAGACCCCGGTCTATTCATTCCCCTTTCTTTTGCACCCACAGGACGTACTTGCCAATTCCTCTCACGTGCTGGGCTCTGTGCCAAAATCTGGATCCTGCAAATGCCCTCAGAGGATCTGACAAAGCTGCCCAGCGCCTCCACCCATGCTGGACCTTGTTGCTTCAGAGACTCCTGCTTTGCCTTTCCTCTGGCTTCAGCACTTCTCCTCTTCCCTCCTGTGTCTATCTGCTTTCTTTCCTGCTTCCATTTTCCTCCATTTCCCCCTCTCTCCTCGCTGAAGCTTTGGGCCGGCCCTTGGCACCTCTGGCCATGACCTCCATTTCCTAGTGATACTCATGCCAAAGAAGTCACTGACTATTTGCTAGGAACCATGTATGATACCTAGTGTCAGTGTTGAGTGAACATCCGGGGAGAATGGTGGTAGGCTAAGGGGAGCCATCCGGCAAAACCTTGACCTTCAGCTTGGAACAATGGCAAGATGCAACAACATGGAGGTGTTTGTAAGGTTCTGTCCTGGGACCTGCAGAGAGTGTGTCGGCTTGAGATTACCGTGAGATGGGCAACTATATGAACGGCCACCGAAACCACTAGTTATGATGATAAATAGGAAGAAGCAACTATTTGTATAGTAAATAAGTGAAGGTCTGTGGTTCAGTGGACAGCACGTGTAGGAGAGGGCTTGGAGGCTGATAGAGAAACAAGAAGATGAAGGGCTTGGAGCAAGCGAGTCAGCGATGAGTAGACACAAAAAGGCCAGAGGGTCCTAAGGAAGGTGGGAAGTGAGTCTGGGGGAGAAAGGATGTCTGCTTTGTCACCTCAGGGAGCAGCAGTGGGGCTTTTAGAGGGCTGGCAATTAGACGGGACAAGGCTGGCAGACAGCCAGATGAAGACTGAAGATCATGGTTGACAGCGTGGCTGGCCCTGCACCCCCCCTCCAGGGGTTCCCAGCCCCACAGCTTCCGACACACACTGACCCCCTACCGTCCCCCTGGCCCTGGTCACTCAGGCTCATGAGACTAATACCTGTCTGAGGCAGAGGGAGGTTGCGGAAGGGGAGGTGTTGACCCAGAAAGGCTCTGAGGCCTCTGTGCTGGGATTAATTAGTGTCCATGAAGCTCGTGCCAGTCAGCAGAGCACGGGGTGTTCTGGGATTGGTGTGCTGGGTATGTTGGGGGAGGAATGTTCACTCTGCTTCCCCTCGAAAGTTGTGGTGGAAGAGTAGATCTTCAAAGCAGGCCGGGGAGAGCAATCCCCTGCTCCACCCCAACAAAGGCTTTCAAGAACTCCATATTTATTAGTGTATGTGGGACGGGGTGAGGGGGGTGGTGTTCACGGCTGCCAGCAGGCTGAGCTGGGGATCGCCTTGCAAGAGTCCCCAGGCCCAGGAGGGGGTCTGGATACTACTGCTGTCCCTCAGAGCTCCACAGCCCAATGCAGCTCAGGAATTTCAGGAGTCTTGCTTCTGCATCTCAGGCTGGCCCGTGGACGAGAAGGCCTCTGATGATCCTGTAGTCCCCCTTGCCAAGAGGAAGGAGATTGCTATCCAGAGAGCTGAGCAGAAAGGTGGTGGGTCGGGTGGAAATCCTGACGGGAGGCTAGCAGCCCCTGGACTGGTCTGGGTCTGCCAAGGCAGGAGTCTGTGTAAGTGCCCCTTATCTTTCGGCCTTCCCGTAGCTTCCAGGCCAGCGGGGGAGGAGGCTTTCTCTGAAGAATCCCAGTGGCCTCCTTCCTCCCACTCTCCAACTCTCCATATTAACCCTCCCGAGGCCTCTCATTGTGGAGGTGACAAAACCTAGGCATCAGCCGGCTAGTTGCTGAGATAGAATAATAGAAGAGTAGTGGGACGACAACACAAGCCCTTGAGTCCCAGCCCCCAGCACAGTGTCTCATTTCTACTTCCGGGAGGGCAGGGATGCCTGGCCGTGTAGCCCCGAGCAAGCCACTTCTCCATGGGTCTCGGTTTGCCATCTAAACCCTGCAGTTGCCCCTGCTTGTGCTCTCTCTCTGGCAAATAAAATCTTTTTAAAAAATAAATAAATAGGGCGCCTGGGTGGCTCAGATGGTTAAGCGTCTGCCTTCGGCTCAGGTCATGATCTCAGGGTCCTGGGATCAAGTCCCTCATCGGGCTCCCTGCTCCGCAGGAAGCCTGCTTCTCCCTCTGCCTCTCTCTCTCTGTATCTCTCATGAATAAATAAAATCTTTAAAATAAAAAAAATAAAAATAAATAAATAAATAAATAAATAAACCCTAACAGGGTTCAACTTGTGTCCTCATAGCCCGCCCAGTTCTGACCTGTTAGGACCCTAGGTAAAGGGACCTCCTGCTTTCCACCAACGTTCTTAACCCAGAGTGGGAAGGAGGGGCACATTCCCAGAGCTGTCACTCCCCTGGAGTACTCAGGGGATTCTCCTTCACCCCTGGGCTCTGGTCCCCGCCCATCCCCCACGCATATCCTGGGGAGAAGTGTTAGGGAGAAGGATTGCTGAAGGGAACCACAGATTTGGAACCAGAAGGAAATCTGGAAACTCTGTATCAAACCCTATTTACTGTCATTGTTTTTAATTGAGACTAAATCCGCATAACAAAACAATTGCCATTTTTAAAGTATACAGTTCAGTGGCATTTTGTTCATTCATGATGTTATGCAACCACTTCTATCTAGTTCAAAAATATTTTCCCCACCCTAAAAGAAAACCCTGTACCCACTGAGCAGTCAGTCCCCACTTGCCCCTCCCCCAGCACCTGGCAACCACCAATTCACCTTCTGTCTCTATGGACTCGCCCTTTCTAGATATTTCATAGAAATAGAATCATATCATACGTGGCCTTTTGTGTCTGGCTTCTTTCGCCCAGTGTCATTTAAAAAAAAAAAGATTTTATTTATTTGAGAAAGTGAGAGAGAGTGAGCAAGTGAGAGAGAGCACGAGCGTGGGGTGGGGAGGGGTGGGGAGGGTCAGAGGCAGAGGGAGAAGCAGGCTCCCCACTGAGCAGGGAGCCTGACACGGGGCTCGATCCCAGGACCCTGAGATCATGACCTGAGCCGAAGGCAGATGCTTAACCGACTGAGCCACCCAGGCGCCCCTCAGCGTCATATTTTCAAGGTTCATCCACATCGTAGCATGTGTCAATACTTCATGCCTCTTTATGGCTGAGCAACATCCCATCTATTGTTTTTATTCTATGAGTAATGACTGGTTGATAGCTTCATTTATGGAGGGTCTACACTGGGCCAGACACTTTGCAGGTACTTCACTTCTATTATTTTCTTTATTCCACTGATTTGTACCCTAGTGGCTTCCACCATGCAGATGAGGAAACTGAAAGCCTGAGGGTAATAATGCCCTTCCCAAAGGTCATATAGCTGGTTAGTGGTCAAACCAGGGCTAGAACCCTGGTGGGGTTTCAATTCCCAGGTACCTAGGGGGCAGTGGCCAGAAGGCCAGGAGAAGCCCCGCTGAGGAAGATCACCAACCTGGGGTAGGACAGGGGCACGCGGAGGTGAGGTGGGCCCGCACCATACAACTTCTCTTCCAGCCACCTCCCTGCTGCCCCTTCTCCTGGGCCTCCCACACCCAATCTCCACCCCAGCTGGGGGCAACACCTTTCTGACCAACAGGATTTGCCTGCCTCCACCTCAGGCCCCTTGTCTCTGGCCCCCCACAACAAAAGCTGGGGCATCCGGGGTTACCTGCAGCACAGGCCCAAGGCCCTAACATAATGCTCTGAGGTGACCACCATTTTACCTTGAATCTCTACTTTGCTCCACTCCTGTCCCTCTGCAGAGTCCTGGCCAGCCTTCTTCAGCCCTGACTTTTCCATTCTCTAGCACCAGTCTTGGCCTGACCTCTGCTCCCAAACCCTGCGGGGGAACAGCAACCCAGCAGAGTTGCTTCTGGTCTTTGTCCAGACATCACATGGTCTAGGGAGGTAGGGAATCGAGGTTATTTTGCCTCAGAAGCTTCCTGTACCCTGACCAATCCCAGTTTTGTTCCAAATGGGTTATGGGAGTCAAGGTAATTTCATAGCCACCTTGCTTACAGTGCCTCATCCCCCACTCCAATACACACACACACACACACACCCCTTCTTCCTCCCCACTCCTCATTCTGTCCCTAAAAACTGGATCCCTGGGCGCCTGGGTGGCTCAGTTGGTTAAGCGACTGCCTTCGGCTCAGGTCGTGATCCTGGAGTCCCTGGATCGAGTCCCGCATCGGGCTCCCTGCTCGGCAGGGAGCCTGCTTCTCCCTCTGACCCTCCCCCCTCTCATGTGCTCTCTCTCTCTCATTCTCTCTCTCTCAAATAAATAAATAAAATCTTAAAAAAAAAAAAAAACTGGATCCCCCTCTGCTGTCCCTGCTCTACCCTACTCAATCTTCCCACCTGCTATGAGAGAGTCCTCCAAGGAAGACAGATAATAATTAAGAGTTTCAATAGAGTCTCCAGGAGCCTGGGGGACAGAGGTGGCTTGCAGCTGGAGGGATGGTGGCGAGGCTCTGTTGTGCAGAAGCCAGTCCTTCAGCCACCCCAAAGGCTTCCTGCTGCCGGTGTACTGGCTGAGAACACTGTAGCCCACCACAGTCCTCGCCTAGATGGAGGCTCTTTAGATCTGTCTAGGTCTTCTCTTTCTTCCTTGCTAAGGTTTTACCAGGTGGTGCTGTGGAGAGATGACAGAGGGGCAAGGCAAGCCGGTTCTCCATCAGGGTTTGGTAATTCCTCACAAGGTCCTGGCTCAGGGGTGCGCTGGGCAGCAAGGCCAGTTTTAGCACCTTCTCCCGGTAATGAGGCAGAGGGTTCGGGCAGAGCCAGCCCCTGGCAAAACCACTGGGAAGTGGGTTGGGCATGAGTTGGAGGCCTCGGGGCTCAAACCTTCCACCAGCTGAGATGTGCCGGTACCTGTTGGGGGAAAGGGGTGTGCAGAGAACAGAGAGGTCAAAGGAGAGGTGTGGGCATTGTGGGACGAGTAAGAAGGGAAAGCATGATGCTTTTCTCATAGCTTAATAAAAGTTTATTTGGGGGCACCTGGGTGGCTCAGTTGGTTAAGTGGCTGCCTTCAGCTCGGGTCATGATCCCAAGGTCCTGGGATCGAGCCCCACATCGGGGTCCCTGCTCAGCGGGGAGCCTGCTTCTCCTTCTCTGTCTCCCTCTGCCTGCCCCTCCCCCTGCTTGTGCTCTCTCTCTCTCTCTCTCTGTGTGTCAAAGAAATAAATTAAATCTTTTAAAAATCAATCAATCAATCAATAAAAGTTTATTTTTCACAATGCTACAAAGGTAAGCCCCCCAATTTATAATTCTTCATGTTCCTCTCAAAAGAAAAAAAATTTTAAAGATTATTTATTTATTTATTTGAGAGAGAGAGCACAAGCAGGGGGAGTGGCAGAGGCAGAGGGAGAAGCAGGCTCCCCGCTGAGCAAGCAGCCTGATGCGGGGCTCGATCCCAGGACCCTGAGATCATGACCTGAGCCGAAGGCAGATGCTTAATTGACTGAGCCACCCAGCCACCCCTCAAAAAATTTTTTTTGAAAACCCTTAGTATTAACATCAAACCATGCTTAAAAATACTATAGACTTGGGGTGCCTGGCTGGCTCAGTCAGTAGAACGTCCAACTCTTGATCTCGGGGTTGTGAGTTCAAGCCTCACGTTGGGTGTAGTGAGTAGTGATTACTTTAAAAAAATTCTGTAGGCTTTTTAAAAAATCAGATAATGATAAAATGCCAAGGTCCCAAACTAATATTGTTCAAAATAAGAAAGGATCATCATTGGGATCCTGGTGTTTTGCTTTGTTTTGTTTTTTAGAGAGAGTGAGCGCAAGTGAGGGGAGGGGCAGAGGGAGAGGGAGAGAATCCCAAGCAGACTCCGCACTCAGTGTGAAGCCCAACTCAGGGCTGGATCTCACAACCCCGAGATCATGACCTGAGTGAACACCGAGAGTCGGACCTTCACTGACTGAGCCACCCAGGCACCCCAAGTACGGGGATCCTGTTATATACTGACAGTGGTAAGGGCTGACCGACTGTTGTCATTAACATCAGTGCCCATAAGAAAGTAAAGCTTTTATGCCCTGCAAGCATATTTGTTGTGCACATCTTGAGATTGAGGTCTAAAGCCATGTTTGACTAACTTTTTTTATTACTCTAACATAAGCTAGCGATGGGATCGGGCTGGAGGGAATCCCTTCTGTCTCTCTTCCTTATTGGATATTGGTCTATGCCAGAGAGCGTGCACCCTGTGTGTGTGTTTGGCATTAAGATGGTGAAATTATGTTGTTTAGATGGTCAGTCTCCCATTCTTTTTTTTTTTTTTAAAGATTTTATTTATTTATTTGACAGAGAGAGACACAGCGAGAGAGGGAACACAAGCAGGGGGAGTGGGAGAGGGAGAAGCAGGCTTCCCGCTGAGCAGGGAGCCCGATGTGGGGCTCGATCCTAGGATCCTGGGATCATGACCTGAGCCGAAGGCAGACGCTTAACGACTGAGCCACCCAGGCGCCCCAGTCTCCCATTCTTTTTACATATTGTCAGTATATCATTATCCAGATGCTAACTGTCCTTCAGTCCCACGTCCTCTGCTAATGCGCTGCCAGCAGGAATTAGAGAAAATGCAGCTCAAGTGCCCCTTTCTCATCACTGGTGAGCATGAGGACATCCAAGAACCCTTCCTGCTCTGACCTGCTGCCATATGACACCTGGTCTGATGGCTCCCTCTTCTACAATAGAGAGAAACTGACTTTTTAAAAAACAACGGTTAAGCGTCTGCCTTTGGCTCAGGTCATGATCTCAAGGTCCTGGGATCGAGTCCCACATCGGGCTCTCTGCTCAGTGGGGAGCCTGCTTCTCCCTCTCCCTGGGCCACTCGCCCCAGCTCCCGCTTGTGCTCTCTGTCTCTCTCTCTCTCTCTCAAATAAATAAAATCTTTAAAAATAAAATAAAATAAAATAATAATAAAAAAAACACAACAGTTGAATAGTGGCAAATTTCCTGTGCTTCAACATGCTTCGCAGCTCATCCAGCAGATATCCCCGTTTGCCGTCTTTGGTTTACATGAGACATACTCGGGCCTGGCTGCACATTAGAATCACTCCTAGGGAGCTTTTTAAAAAATCCCTGTGCTCAGGCTGCCCACCCCCCAGGCCAACTAAATCAGAATCTCATGAATGGGGCTCAGACCTCACCATTTTTTAAAGAGGCCCAGGTGATTGTAACGTGCTACCAGAATTGAGAACGGCTGGGTGTATGTATAAATATTCTATTTCTCAGCAATATCGTGGGCATCTTGAAGCTTAGACCTGTCTGGAGTCTTTTCTGGGTCTCTCACGCTCAAAATGTGCCCTCTCACTGATCTAGAGACTTTTTTTTTTTAAGATTTATTTATTTGAGAGAGAGAGAGAGTGAGCAAGCATGAGCAGGGGGAGGGGCAGAGGAGAGGGAGAGAGAGAATCCACAAGCAGATGCCATGCTGAGTGCAGAGCCCGACAGGGGGCTGGACAAGTGGCTCGGCCCCAGGACCCTGAGATCACGACCTGAGCTGAAACCGAGAGTTGGCCGCTTAACTGACTGAGCCACCCAGGCGCCTCCGATCTAGTGACATTTTTAAAGGTATTTTAACCCCTTACAGAACCTCTCCAAAGGAACAACAGGACAGGATGGGCCCTTCCTCTCACCATTCTGTCTTGTTCCCGCCTGGTGAACTTGTACACGTTCTTCAAGGTTCAGCTCATGTACCACGTCCTCTGTGAACCGCAAAACCTTGTCTGGGACTCCTTCATTCCTGGCTCCAGTGACTGGGCCTCCAGCAGCAAACAGAGGGAAACAAGGATCCTCCTCTCATGGGGATGCCGTACTAATGACACGATTTACTGAGCGCCCTCTCTATGCAGACACCACGCCTTTTCATCTTCTAATAACCCTGCAAGGTACCAGGTACATCCCCAATACATACTTGGGTAAAGTGAGGCTCAGAGAAAGTCAAGGTGGTGCAGCAAGTTTGTGATCGAGCTGGGTAGATTGCTACCTAGAGGGCGCCTGGGTGGCTCAGTTGGTTAAGCGACTGCCTTCGGCTCAGGTCATGATCCTGGAGTCCCGGGATCGAGTCCCGCATCGGGCTCCCTGCTCGGCGGGGAGTCTGCTTCTCCCTCTCCCGCTCCCCCCTCTTGTGCTCTTTCTCTCTCTCACTCTCTCTCTCAAATAAATAAATAAAATCTTAAAAAAAAAAAAAAAAAAAAGATTGCTACCTAGATCCGGGTGGCTCCAGAGCCCATGCAGCTTCTGCTCTCACACACATTCTCTGTACGCCCGGCACTGCACTGAGCTCTTTTTGTGGATAATTGTGGTTTTCTTATGCTGTCTTTATAGAACGTTATATCACATCAGAAGTCGCGGTGAACATGTCTGATTCCCCAGTCAGGCAAGAGGGAAAGTGGTTAGGCATGCAGTTCCGGAACTGAGCTGTCTGGGTTCGAATCCCAGCTCTGCCCCTTTACTGGCCATATGAACTTGGGCGAGTTAAGCGACTTCCCTGTTTCAGATGCCCCATCTGTAAAATGGTCTTGCTAGTAATAGTTTCTAATCGGAGTAGTGGGAGGTGATAAATAATATATCTCAAGTGATTACAACATCTGGCACTATCATTTCACTGAAGTTAATTTTTATTGTTATTTTGGGTGGGGGAGCGATCTAAGTCTTCTCACCTTTGTATGTCTAGTGTTAGCACATACTAGCAATCAACAGTCCGTCCTGCAAGGGCTGCAGACAGAAGCCGAAGTCCTGAGTAATCTCTCAAAATCACCAACAGTTGGCATTTTTTGAAAAGATTAAAAATCTCCACGGCCTCCCCTCCAACCCTTCACTGCTTCTGTTAATGCCCTCGGGGTTGGAATTTGAGATATTCTATCCTTATTCCCTGCCCCCTTTCCTGTCTTATCCCCTCAGAAACGGGACTCAGTACGGGAGACAATTGTGCTGTGCGTTCCCACGGTGGACAGCGAGCAAGAGCTGCAGGGCACTCCATTAACCCCTTTCACATTCCTGTCTCTGCTCAGACCGGTCAACCCTCCATCCCCTTCTTTCTACCTTTCTGAGGGCCTCCTGCCCTTCCAGCCTTCACCTGGTTTCCGCACAAAGCCTTCCTGGGGGGACGCTTCAGCCCACAGCGACCCCTCCCGCCTCTGCATTTCTGTAATAACATCTGTTTTTTGTATAATGCTTTCATATCCCCAGTAACCCATTTTATCTTCTCCCATTGAGGGAGACGTGGTGTTTACCGTCCCCATTTTATCAGTGATGGAATTGGGTCCGGAAGAACTAAACAGTTTGCCAAGTCTGGACTTTAATCCAAAACTCTGACTATAGCTTTCAGCTCTTTCCATTAGTAATTGATATTCTTACAACACTCACTGTCTGTGTCACACTTTGTACACATAGGGTGCGTGGGCTTGTGTTGTTAGCTGCCCCTCCAAGCCTATAGGTAGGTAGCTGCCTTTCTCAAGCTCCCTGGAGGAAGGGAAGGGATGACATTTGTCTGTACCCCCAGGGCCCAGCAGGTGTTAAGCACCTAGGTGTGTCCCGGGCATTCTAGTGATACGGTTAGGCCACCTCCCCTGGCTGTCCTTCCCTTGCCTCCACACCTTCCTTCTGGCTACACTCAGCTAGAGCACCAAGGGAGACATCAGAAACAGGGACGAGAGAGAGGGGTCACCTGAACATGAGTAGGTTGTGTGAGCGCCCCCCACTCCAAGCCCCCGAGGAAGGAGCTCCTCTTACTTCTTGAAGTTCTTTGGGCACAGGATGTTGCCCTTGGTGTCGAGTGGAGGTGCCCTCACTTCGCTCCTCAGCTTGAGTTTCTCCAGCTCTCTCAGTTCCTGTATCGTCCTGACAAGCACCTGGTTCTTCCTGTTCTCGTCCACGAAGATAGGAGTACAGCAGATGAAGCTCAGGAAGCTGTTCTGACCCATCCAGGAGGGAGGGAGGATGGGGGGCTCTGCTGGGGGGCAGCCATGGGCCCTGGGGTCCGTCAGCCAGCGCCACACGTTGCTATCATAGGGCCTGTCGGGCCTGGTGGGAAAGGTGGCGGGCAAACGGCCCACATCAAGCCACGTGTGGAAGCCCCAGGTGTGCTGTGCTGTGTCCTTCGAAGGGTAGATTAGTCGGCGACGCACCTCAGACTTGACTTCCGTGCAGGGCGGCGGCTTCAGGGCCAGCCGGTGGTGGGCCTGCCGGGTGAAGCCGGGCCACTCCCAGGACTCACTGGGGAGGAGGAACTCACGCTGAGCCCACGTTTGGTGGGTCAGGAGGGGCTCGCTGGCGTGGGCCATCTAGGGAGAGACAAAAGGGAGCCTGGGGGACCACTCAGCCTCTGTCTCCCAGGAGCTGCCGCAGAGACAGCAAGAGGCTGGCCTCCTCAGACCCGGGACTCTCATCAGGACCCTGGTGGCCTGGCCGAAAACCGTGTCTCCATTCCTGCCCTGCTGTCAGAAGTTCTGTCTGTTCTGTAGGGGTCCCCTGGGTTTCTCACCTTCTGCTCTCTCTCTCCCACCCCCTCTCCTCAGCCATCTCCCTGCCCTTCACTCTTACGTTACCTGTCCTCTCCACTCTGGCGGCCATCCCCACCCCCTGCCAGGAACTGGTGTTCCTAACATGGTACGTCAGGCCTGAGGAAACTGTGGGGGGAAATGCCCCTTAGTAAGCAACACGGAGAAGGAAAGTCTTTCTCCAGAGAATGCAGCCCAGGGGCTCTTCTCTCCCGGACTCGTCCTGTTACCCATTTCTCTGTCATCGGGGCATTTCCCTCACTTCTCATCCAAACACAAGCAAGTATGGAAAACACCTAGAAAGCTGGTTCCTTCCCTTTCCTGTGTCCCACCTCCCGTGAGATCAACAGTAGCAGCTATGTATTGACACTGTGCTCAACACACCCTCAACCCAGTTAAGCCTCATAATCCTTTGAGCGAAGTGTTGTTAACTGTCCCAGCTCGAGGATGCAAAAGGCAAGACAAAATGAGGGTGAATGAGTCACCCAAGGTTGTCAGGTCAGTGAGTGGCAGAGCTGGGACTTGAGCCATCTCCTGCGCCACTCAAAATGCCTCCCCCTCCTTTCCACCCTAGGACTTTGATTCCAAAAACTCACCTGTCTCTTGGGCCTACTCCGCTGTCATTTCTCCATGACCGCCCCAGTAGGTGGGGCTGGGAGATGTAATAACCAGGCATCTCCTTTTCTCTGTTCTGAGCTCTGTGTTCACAATACCATAGGATTAAGGGAGGAAGACGGTAGGAGAGCTCTGGGCCAGACCTACTGACCAGAAGAAAGTACAGCCCACCCCAGGGGGACAGCCCTTAGCCCAGCAGGTGCAAACAGATAGGCTGTGGAGATGGGGCCCCACCTCCTACCTGCAAGAAAGGTTTTTGGACATGGGGTGGATCATTCCGCCCTCTGGGTTGTCTCCGTGGGCTACTGGCCATTCTTCTTGTGGGCCTGATTGCCAGGAGGGGCCGCTTTGTAGAGAAGACTTTCCTGGCAGCATTGTTTGCTGTTGGGGTTGCTATGGTGATGCTTCCTGGATGGTGACGCAGGAGGCAGCCCTTACCTCCCCCTGGGGGGGCTCATCAGTCCCTTGGGCCTGGCTGCCTTTCAGGTGAGACAGGCAGGGGATAGGGCTCATATGTTTTTGGCAAAAGATGGTAACCAGAGGGGCTTCCGGGGACAGACTTGCCTAGGAGGGCAGGAAGAGAAAAGGCCTGGCTCCCAGGCCCCGGGTTGGGGTAGAGGTGGTCCTGAGGCACCTATAACTGGGCCCATCCTTCCCTACTGCTCCAGGAGGTGAGGGCCCTGCCCCTCTGTAGGCCTTTCCCTTGCAGGGAGCGCTAAAGGGCCAAGTTAACCATCAGGTTGAGAGGTGCTGAAGAGGCTGGCCATGCAGGACCAGCCTGGGAGATCTGCCAGTTTCTATGCTAGAAAGGATGTGTGCCTGTGCAGGATGTGGGAGGCAGTCCAGGCCCAAGCCCTCAGCACTCTCTATCACGTGCTGCTTCATGCTGGCTTCAGGCCTTACCTCTTCCGGGTCACCACCATCACATCGTCTCCCATGGCCTTCTCCACCCCCTCCGTATGCCTCAGGGACCAGACACCAACACGCCAGAGACCACACTTCCACCCTGGATTTTATTGACAGTTATGGTAGTGTTCGTGAGCTGGCTCACAGGCCTGTGGTCAGCTGGGGCCTAGGGTGGCTCTTGGCAAAGCTGAAGTGTGAGCTAAGGAAGCTAGGCAGGTGTTATATGTCCTTCAGTCTTCTCAAGCCTTGGGCCAAGTTCTTGGCAATGGCTAGTCTCTCTGGCATGATTAGGGACATTATCAGAGAAACGTCTCATGGGAGCACATGTAGGGACCCACATTCTTGGCCTCAGATGCATCCATTCCCCCACCCCCAATTCAACTCTTGACCCACTACAAAAGACCTTTTTATCGGGATTTCTTCTTGCAGGAAAGCGGACTTGGAAACATGGGGAGGTGGGAGGGAGGGGCAATAAGAGGGACCCTAGGAAGCCGACCTGCTTCTCTGGGTGCCTACAGTAAAGAGCCCTTGAGGCAGGTGTCCTGGGCCTGGAAGAAACCGTGCACTGCAGGTCCTCCCTTCTCTAGGAATTAAAAGCAAGGAACAGAAGCAAACTGAAACCCCTTGTCATCCTACCCACCTTCTGGCAGTCTCTAGATAATGATCTAAGGAAATAAGCTTACATTTATAATTAGAGGATAATTTGGAGAATATACACTATTTACAAGGGCCACCTGCAAGAAGCAGGGAAGGTGGGAGACTGCTGGGCACAGGTGTAAACAGTCTGGGGAGTTCCTAATCTCTTTCTACCCTTGTTTTTGCTGTTCCCACCCTTCAGCTCCTAGCAGGGAGAGGGAGGAACCGGATTCTCTTGGGGAGCACTGGTGACACAGTGACCGGTCACCAGGACCTCGCTGCTTGCAGAGGGCTCGGTAGTGGCCATGGCGTGACCAGGCGAAGTGGAGCTAGAGGAGTGGACGGTCCTGCCTGCTGTCCTCACTCCAGATGAGGCTTGGATGGCCCAGCCACACGAGCTCCTGGAAGTGTGGATGGCATGGGCAGCAAGGGTAAGGTCAGGCCTCTACCGCAGCTCAGGAATGAACTGAGCCCAGTTGATGCTGTCAGGGCCCAGAGGGTCCTCCTCCAGGCCAGGAAAGCTGATGTCCAGCAGGATCTTGCTGAGGCTGTCATTCATTGTGTCCAGAACCAGGCCTTCTGTCAGAGAGCGGTTGGCAGAAAGACTGGCCACCTCTGGCCCGGGGGACTGTGGCTTGGGGACTTCCATATCTGAGGGGGAGGAGGTGCTGAACGGGTCAGAGGTGAGGTCAAAGGGCTCCGAATTGAGGAGCTCTCGGGGTGAGTCAAAGAGGGGGATACTTTTCAGCGGGGTGGTGCTAAAATCCGTCAGCCCCAGGGAATCAGGCAGGGGGCCAAAGGCAGCCTGGGGGGGTTGTACTGGGCTGAAATCTAGCCCCCCTACTTTGGCTGGGGGGGTGAGCCTCCAGGATTCAGGGGTCACGGGGAGGACAGATTTGCTCGGGGTGGAGGAGATGGGCAGCGTCTCCTTAATGGGGGTCTTAAAAGGTCCTCCCTCCTCCTGGGAGTAGCCAAGCTGGGAGGCAGTCTCAGAGGACTCTGTGGGCAAAGGGAGCTCTGTGGCTTGCTGGGAAGCCCCAGGGCCCTCGGAGAAGAGGAGCTCAGGCTCGTCCAGACAAGGAGGCAGGAGGTGCTGTTTCCTTCGAGACCGGCTCATCTCCCTCCCCTCCCTTCGTTTAATCACGAGCATTTCTGAGACACACCGGGCTGGGGACTTGAGCCCACTGTAGGACTTCTTGGGCCTTGGAGTGGGAGAGTGGGACGAACCCTCCCAGGAGTGAGATGATTCCTCTTTGACAGACAGGCATGGTGAGGGCCACTCCTCCAAGGGTGGGCTCTCCACTTTGATGGGTCTCCCCAAGGGTGGCGTTTCCTCTCCAGGCTGGGGTTCTTCCTCCTTGATGGACTGAACTGGAAGCAGAGGAGACAGTCCTTCTCCAAGCAGGAGTTTGTCCTCTTGCACAGGCCCTGTGGCAGGCAGAGGGGCCACCCCCTCCTCGGCTAGCAGCACCTGAAAGGAAAGCAGGGGTGCGGTGAGAGGGAGCTTTCCAGGCCTTGATGCTCACCCCAGGCACCAGGCGGGACACAAGGTCATGACTAAAATAAGCCACATGCTGGTACTGGTCCTCTTTTTTGTCTTTTTAAAGTCTTACAAACTATGAAATATGAGAATATATGATGAAGGTGGTAGTTCAATTCTGGGGGTAAAAGGTAGAGTGTTGTTTTAATATGGCGCTGGTATAATTAGTACCCAGCTGAGACCATAAAATTGGATGCCTGTTTCATATCACATACAAAGACTTCAACAGAAAAATTAAAACCATACGAATCCTGAAAGAGAATCTAGGAGGCTACATGTACAATCTGAGGGTGGGGGGCGACCTTCTTAAGCAAGACTGGAAACCCAGAAGCTGTAAAAGAGAAGAGAGATATCATTGGCTATATAAAAACTTAAAATCTTACTATGGCAAGAGATTCCATAAACAAAGAGACAAACGATAGAAATAATCTATCTATCTATCTATCTATCTATCTATCTATCTATCTATCTATCTATATCTTCAGCACCAAAGACAGAGGTTAATATTTTAATAACAAAGAACTTTCACATATTGTTATCAAAACCTCATAGAAAGATGGGCCATGCCCCTACATAACTATCTCGAACCATTCCAAGTGACCTAACGTGATGAGAAGGTACTCACACTTATCGATAAGCAAAGAAAGATAAAATGAGACAAGGAGATTTCATTTACACATAGCAGATGGGCAAATAGTTCAAAGACTATTAATACCAATTGCTGGCAAAGATATTGGTCTTGTCACATATTGCTGGTAGAAATGTAAATTATTATATATTTTTTTGGAAACCAGTATCTAGCAAGATTTAATAAAATGGAAAACACCTTTCCACTGGGCAATCTCATGTCTGGTTTTCTAGCTCACAGAAATAAAAGCACTTGTAAGAAAGGTACCTGCAAAGATATTTATTGCTGTGTTGTTCGTAGGGCAAAAAACCCAGAAACAAAATGTACCCATAAAAGTGGAATGCTGGAAAATTTATGGCTTAGCCACACGGTGAAATATTGTGTGGCCATTAAGAAACAATGAATTCGCGCCAATGCCGAGTGACTTGGAAGAATTTCCCTGTGGCAGGAAAGTGTAGTGTGATCCCATTTTGAATGTTCTGGGTGTTATATGTCCATATATAAAATGGTTATGGCTGTATGTGTACGTATAGTACGTGAAGAGCAGGGATAAATGATGAAGGCAAGCATACTACGTTGTCAGCACGGGGTATCACGGGCAGCAGGGGGATGTGAGTGAAGGTGGGGGAGGGCAGGCAGAAAGATAAGAGGGGAAAAAAAGATTGCAAATAAAACAAAAACAGTATATGTGCTCTAGTCACATGGATACATTTAGGTAAAATTACGTATGATGGTATGTATTATTTTATGTATATTTAAAAAATATTTTTTCAATTAAAAAGAATAAAGCAAACCCAAGTCTCTCTCAACTCCAGAGCCTAGGCAAGGGAACCCTTTTCTCTGCTTTGTTATCAGTCGGCTCTCGCTCACAAATCCTCTATAGCGTTAAGTCCAGACTTGGTAGCTCATCACGAAATGGTCTTAACTTCACCCTCCTCACCTTCTCCTCAAGCTAGGCCACTGATGCTCAACCAGGGGCGCTATCCCCACCCTCCTGCCCCCTAAGGGACATCTGGCAATGTCTGGACACATTTTAATTGTCACACTGGGGGATGCTCCTGGCACCTAGTGGGGAGAGACAAGGGATGCTGCTAAAGATCCCTCAGTGCGTAGGACCGTATCTGTCCACCGCCAACAAAGAGTTATCCAGCCCCGAATGTCAACAGTATGGAGGCTGAGAACCCCTGAGCTAGACTGATCCAATCACTCTACTGTTACTGGGTATAAACTGGCATCTCCTGCCTCCATGGCACCGCCCATTAGAATGCTGTTGCCACACCTGTTTGCTTACCCAAATGTAATTCTTATAAACTCATTAGGTATCCATGGGCTTCTGACATTACTTACACCGTAACCCAAGTTCCTTTTTAGCTCTTGAATTCTCCTTTGTCATACAAAGGAAAATGCCTTGTCTACCCAACTAGATTTATAAGCTCCTCCAGGAACATTTAGCAGAGAGCTTGCAAACCATAGATCCAACACTTTTAATTGACTGGAGTGTCTCGTCAGAGGAAAACGGAAGCCACTCACCTTGGGCGCAATACGGACTCGCTTGCTGTGGCGGGCAAGCTCTGAGCTCATGAGTGAAGCTGCCAGGGGCAATGGCACCTTTACCGAGGGCT